TGTACATCCACCTGATTAGAATACACTGTGTAAAGTATATTTAAAGGGCTTGGGGGGCTCAAAAGTGGGAGTGATTGAGTCCACCTACAGCAGGGATTGGAGCCCGGGGGATAGAAATAATAATGAAAGTTTATATTTATTGAAAGTTTACTAAGTCTTAACATTATATCGAGCACATTAAGAGTATTTTCTCATGTAATCACTCAATAGCTCGATTTTGCAGATGAGAAAATTGGGGCTTAAGGAAATTAAGTAACATGGAACTGAATCAAGGTCCAGGTATTTTGAAGAATGATAAGGATTTAGGCTAGATTTCTCGGTCCTACCCCAGAGGGGAAGGGCTCACCAGGGCTAAGGTCCAGCATCAGCAAAGATAGGGGAACTTTGATAAATTTAAAAATCCATCTTCAAATGAAAGCAGATTTAAATTCCATGTTTCCTCAGTTCTTTGGTGCACCATCTAAACATCTATTGGTAACTTTTTAGAATAAAAAGAAGCTACTTTAGATGTGTTTAGACCAGTAGTAATGTAGATCTATCTGTGCCATCCCATTCTTTGGTGTTCAGCCTAGAGTAGTGGTCTTTATACCACCAGGCATCGCCAATTATCTGGGAGGTTTAAAAAATGCAGACCACCAAGCCCAGCCTCAGGGATTCCAATTCTGTACTTCTGGGTGGGGAGGGATCTGCAAGTCTAACCTTTGGCAAGTGCCTTATTTGAGTCTAAGGCCTTACTTTGAGAATCAGTGATCTGTAGGTCCTTCTGAGTCACTGTTTTCTTTCAGCCAACAGACTAAATAAATAACATCATTAAATTAAATCATTTCTTTAAAATCAGCTGGAACTTTTTGGTAGATAAGTACTTGGGTGCCTATCTTATATCATGAAGACATAAGAATTGAGCAGACCTCTTCAGCCTTAAAAATGAAGGAAATTCTGACAAATTCTACAACACAGATGGATTTTGAGGACATTGTGTTAAATGAAATAAGCGAGTCACAAAAAGACAAATACTGTATGATTCCAGTAACATGAGGTACCTAGAGTAGTCAAATTCATAAAGACAAAATAGAATGGTGGTTGTCAGGGCTGGGGGAGGGAGGAATGGGAAGCTAATGTTTAATGAGTACTTAGTTTCAGTTTGGGAAGATGAAGAGTTCTGTAGACAGATGGTGGTGACTGCACAACAATGTGAATGTGCTTAATGCCAATAAATTGTACACTTTAAAAATGGTTAAAGTGGGGGGCTCCTGGGTAGCTAGTCAGTTAAGCATCCAGCTCTTGATTTTGGCTCAGGTCTTGATCTCAGGGTTGCAAGATTGGGCCCCACGTCGGGTTTGGTGCTCAGTGGGGAGTCTGCTCCAGATTCTCTCCCTCTCCCTCTGTCCCTCCTCCCCCTCTAAAATAAATAAATCTTTTTTAAAAATGGTTAAAATGGTAAAATACTAATAACAACAACTGTGTTTGAAAAAAAATGAGCAGACCAACCTCTCCCAGCTGTGGTAATTCTTTGCTTTCTCCTGAGACACTTGGTGATTTTTTTTTACCTTTGATTATACTCCCTAATGTGTAACAAATAATTCCTTACACCTGCTCAATGACAAACAGAACACAGTTGTATCTACCTGTACTTCTTAAACTTTAAGTTCTCCTAGTTACTTTAAAACAAGAAAATACAGACATGTGGCCATTCCTCCAGAGATGAGTAATGACCTCACTTATAGTAAACTTATATCTGGCAGCTCTGTTCCCACTAACTTTTTTATTTCAGTGACGCATTGGAGTGACATCTTTTAAAAAGACATTTAAAATAACTATGAGAAACCCAAATTTAAGTGAAAGTTTAAATACAGGTACTGTCGAGGCCCACCACTCAACCTGGGTGGTCCTTGGAGGAAAAGATTCATGTCTCCGTGGCTGAATTTGAACATGTGCAGGTGCTGACAGCAATGGGGGTGCCAAAAGTCTTTTGGCACTGACTGTAAGAGTATTTCTGATGTGGGGAAAGTTATTCACCAATCATGGTTCTTGGTAGCAAACCAGAGAAACTGATTCTGAGGTAAGCAGAAAAGGAAATTTTCAGAAAATCCAGCTTTGTTTTGTTTTTTTAAAGATTTTATTTATTTGACAGAGAGACACAGCGAGAGAGGGAACACAAGCAGGGGGAGTGGGAGAGGGAGAAGCAGGCTTCCCACGGAGCAGGGAGCCCGATGCGGGGCTCGATCCCAGGACCCTGGGATCATGACCTGAGCCGAAGGCAGGTGCTTAATGACTGAGTCACCCAGGCGCCCCCCGAAAATCCAGTTGTTCACAGAATTAATGGATAGGTTGGAAAGCTAGTCTGAAAAACTAGGTTAGGAAGCCACCACCACTGGACTCTCAATTCAGCACCTCTGCCATGAGGAAATTCTCATTTTTCAGGGCACCTGGGTGGCTCAGTCAGTTAAGCATCTGCCTTGGCCTCAGGTCGTGATCCCAGAGGTCTGGGATTGAGCCTTGAGTCTGGCTCTCTGCTCATCTGGGAGTCTGCTTCTCCCTCTCCCTCTGCAGCTCCCCCCTATAGTTCTCTCACTCGCTTACTCACTCACTCTCAAATAAATAAAATCTTTTTTTAAGGAAAGGAAGGAAGGAAGAAAGAAAGAAGGAAAGAGAAAGAAAGAAAGAAAGAACGAAAGAAAGAAAGAAAGAAAGAAAGAAAGAAAGAAAGAAAGGAAGGAAGGAAGGAAGGAAGGAAGGAAGGAAGGAAGGAAGGAAGGAAGAAAGAAAAAGAAAGAAAGAAATTCTCATTTTCCCTATGACTTTGCATCATTCCCTCAAGATTCAACAACCCCATCTGGTGGGAGGAGATGATTCTCTGGTTCTAGATCACCTGTCTGTACCCCAATCTGGCAATGAGTAGGGTAAGGGACTGTCTGCTACACTTTCAGCGTCTATGGCCCATATGGGACCTCTCATCCAATAGGAAGGGTGTCCAGCAAACTCAACTCATGTCCACTCCAGTGCCCACATGCAGGTCTTTCTGGTGGTCAGTTCTAAAACATCTTCCTGGCTCCCAGGACACAGCACCATCATTCATCTGCTGAGGATCTCCTACCCAGAGTCTGGGACTATCTGATGGACCCAAATCAGTCTGGAATGACAGAAGCACCTTGGGAGGCAGTTTGTTCTGGCCCTGCAGGGACAGAACTCAGAGTGAAATCTGGACTCTGAATCTTTACATACTGCTGTGCAACCCCATGCAACAGGTCTTTGATTTTCTTCTGTTCTCACCTGACTGCTGATCGTGATGAAAATAAACTCTGGCCCACATTCTGACAACTACCTTTGCCCACCTGTCCCCAGGGAATCAGGGAGTGCCACCGTGAGACAGAATAGAGAAGTGAGAAGTATGAACGGGAAACACACAAACATGTAATGACGATAAACACCATGTTCAAGGGCGGTGCTTTCCTCTGGGGAGAGTGCTTGAGGAAGGGTCCACAGGGGATTTCAGCATTTTTGGAATGTTTCATGTTCTTTATTAAAATTGTGTCTAAATCCTTTTGTTCTTCAACTACTCCCTTTACACCTGTTCTGCAAATTTATAGAAACTTCAGTCCATCGACCCCCTTTATTTTTGAAAATAGATCATTCTCTAGATGCTTTCTCGTCTACCTTAGAACGCTCAGAGTTGACCAGTATTCCAAAATTAGCGTTAATATTTTTGTATTTGTGATGTCGTATGTATCTGTTGGCTCTTGAGTATTGCTTTGTTTTTTTTAACGTTTTACGTGAATGTTATCATGCTGGATATATCCTTTTGAAACTGACTTTTCGCTCACCAGTCTTTTGGAGATTTGCCTGTGTTGACAAGTGAAAATCTAATTCATCCTCACTGCTCTATGGAATTTTGTTATATAAATAAAGTACATTTAAATTCTTCAAAGCATCTGAGGCAAAAAGGCCAAAGGTCAAAATTTATTAAAGTTATGTGATGTGAGCCTATCAGCATTCATCATATTATTTTCTAGACCTTTATGTGTGTTTGGAAGTTCTCAAGATCTATAAAAAAGGGGTGATAGGACTAAAGTAGAAGTCAAGAAAGGTACCATCTTGGCTCTAATTGGGCTGCGCCGAGCCTGAGCCCACAGCTAATCACTCATAGCCTAGAGATTAAAAATAAACCTTGTGGGACTGGTCCTCTCTTGTTTGCTTTCTGCGGGCCTCTGCCTCCCCAGGGGCAGGCCCGAAACAGGCCTTGACCATGGCCGGTGAGGAGTGTTTACAGAGCTGCATGGTTTAGAGCATATTGGCATGCAGCCAAAGCAAACTAAACAATTTGTTGTGGGCCTGGCCATTTTTTAAAATGAAATTGGCAAGAGACCACTTCACACAATGGCTGTGAGACATGATTTTTTAAAAATATTTACAACTTACTTAAGATATAAATAGTCCAAATGATAAATATTGGTCACAGTTTGGGGGCAGGTCAACATTTGGCATCCTTAAGCCCTAAACACTTAGGGTAAGAGAAGACAATTCCTCTTTTGTTATGCTTACTGGGCACTACCCCAAGCGACCCCTAGGTTTTCTTCCTTCTCCACCTCTGCTTCTTTCCAAAAAGCGAGCCTTTAGCAGAAGGGAGAACTTTTGACCCAGGGCCTGTGGTTTTACAGAGCCATTGATCAAATTTGCCATCAATCCCAAGGACTGTACCAGGGGAAGTAGGAGACTCGTGGGTACTAAATGAAATCACAGATCCAGAAGTAAGTGACGTCCGATCAGAATGGTCATGCGCACCTTTTCAGGCCCTGTTTCTCCCCAGGGAAGGGCTCCTGGGATCCTCAGCATTAACTCCTGAATGCATCCAGCCCTAGGGGGCTCATCTGAAGTGATTTGCAGGCCATGAGGCCTCCATTGCGTCCTTGGAGGTGGCGCTCTGTCCTTGGCAGCCGCCAGCGCACCAGCACGTCCCCAGCCCTGAGCATCAGCCACACTGACGTGCCCTCCTCTCCATTTAGGCTATGACTTCTGCCAGGTCCTGCAGTGGTTCGCAGAGCGTGTGGACAGGATCATCCTGCTCTTCGATGCTCACAAACTGGACATCTCAGACGAGTTCTCGGAGGCCATCAAGGCCTTCCGGGGCCAGGACGACAAGATTCGTGTGGTGCTGAACAAGGCCGACCAAGTGGACACACAGCAGCTGATGCGCGTCTACGGGGCCCTCATGTGGTCCCTGGGCAAGGTCATCAACACACCCGAGGTGCTTCGTGTCTACATTGGCTCCTTCTGGGCACAGCCCCTGCAGAACACTGACAACCGCCGCCTCTTCGAGGCCGAGGCCCAGGACCTCTTCAGAGACATCCAGAGCCTTCCCCAGAAGGCGGCCGTGCGCAAACTCAACGACCTCATCAAGCGAGCGAGGCTGGCCAAGGTGAGCCAAGGAGACACCCTGGGCAGCAGGGGACCCTTCCCACTCTCTCCTCTCTAAGGGAAGGTGGGGGTGCGGGAGGTTCCATTCCAGGTGCCCTAGGGAATGGAAAGTGGAAGTTTAAGAAGAGAGCCTCAAGATCAGTATGCTTGTTTAGATTCTGGCTCCTACTCTGTGATCGTTGGCAGATGATTCAGCCTTTCCAAACCTGTTTTCTAATCTGTAAAATAGAGCTAGTAAGAGCATGTCATAGGATGCTTGTGAGGTTCGTGTGACCTCGCTTGCGGGGCACACAGGGAGGGATCGATGCACTCACCACCTGGAAGCTGCTATTATCTTAGGACAAGGAGAATGTAGCCAGCCGAGCCAGAGAGGTCGTGTTGGTGGGACCATTAGGGTGCTGAGATGCCACCACTAGTCACCCTGTGCCTAAGGCACAGAACCCAGTGTCCACTGTCACTGGGGCCAGAGCTGCCCCAGGAGGAAGGCGGGCTCAGCCTGACGCACTGAGTGCGCTTCTTTGGAGGCTGTGGCGCACCCCACACTGGGTGGGTGCCCGCAACATGCCCGCTGTGGCTCTGGGCTTCTCCACCTCACAGCTGAGCCTTTCGGCAGCCCCAGGGGTATGTACCTGGCGGGGTGAGTGCTCATCTGCTGGCCATCCTCAAGCACTGTCCTTGATTCTTTCACATCTCTGAAGAGAGAAAAGGGCATGACTCCTCTAAGAATAAGTGTAGGGAAAAAAAATGTTTTTTTAAAAGCTGTGTGCACCTTTCACAAAATCCTATATTCCTCTAAAGCTGGAAGTGCCTCCAGAGTTTGTCTGGTGTCAAGGATCATCAGAAGCACCCAAGAGCTTGAACCAATGTAAATTCCCGGGCCCTGCCCCAGAGCTTCTGATTCGTGTGTGTGCATGTCTGCATGTGTGTATGTGAGTCTGTGCATGTGAGTGTGTGTGTGTGTGTGTGTGTGTGTGTGTGTAAAGCTCCCCAGGTGATTCTGATAATCAGCCACATTTGGAAGCCAGAGGTCTATCCACTCCCTAATTCTGGAAGGACGAGGTAGAATAAGCAATCTCTGCAGGGTCACCTAATCCACGAGTAACAAAACTTGAACGAAAAGACAGCACTCCTGCGCTCAGCCTAGCCCTGCGCCTTGTTGCATCAGCTAAAACCAGTCCAAAGGCCTGCCTTGCCAAATCCACTGGCACCCTGGTCGGGAAGGGAGGGCAGTGTACTTCCCCTTCGTCTTCTGGTGGCAAAGAAACCGTGTCTCCTCCCTTATACTCTTGCTGCACAGAGTGACTTCCGGTCTGGCCCTGGGGTCCAGCAGGCCAGCCTTCTGGAATCCGCCACCACTCTGCCTCATGCAGGCCCCATTTGCTAAGCACCAGGGCCAGGGCTGGGGAGCCTAGCTGGCAGAGGAGGAGGAGAGGCCCCCAAGCCCCCATTACAGAATGATGAGCTGTGTGCTGAGTGGGGTGTGGACACCATGCTCTGAGGAGGGGGTCTGGCTGGGGGAGGCAGGGAGGGCTTCGCTGAGCGTGGCTGGCTACTGGACAGGCAGTCGGCCTTCTCACAGCTCCTCGTTGCTGCCCAGCAGCCTCCGTCTTCGTGCCAGCGCGCTCACCCAGCAGCATCACTCCTGTATCCAAAGAGACGCCCGGCGCCGTCTGTCTCTAGCCCCACAGACAGGACCCCCATTTGCTCTTTTGCCCTCTGCTCACCTTGCATCCCGGTGCATGCTCACACATACTCCTGTCTCGCCTGGCTGATCTGCAGTCACGGTGCCCCTGTGAGGTACCATTCTTTATCCTGTCTTCCTGGTCCAGACTGGTTCCTCTCTGGAGCTACCACCATTTTTTTTTTTAAGATTTTATTTATTTATTCATGAAAGACAGAGAGAGAGAGAGAGAGAGGCAGAGGGAGAAGCAGGCTCCCAAGGAGCAGGGAGCCCGACGCAGGACTCGATCCCAGGACCCTGGGATCATGACCTGAGCCGAAGGCAGACGCTTAAGCATCTGAGCCACCCAGGCGCCCTACCACCATTTTTTCTACAAGGCCGTAGGTCATGCTAATCAGTTTGTAAATCCACTTACTTGCAGCTTTCCTGAAGTGATTTCTCTCATGCGCTAGTCCCGGGCCTAACGCTCGGTGGCAGGAAGTCTGCTTTCGCCCCTTTGGTAGCCCCTTGGCGTGTGGTATTTCTCTTCTTCAGCTGATATATCTGAACTCACACTTCAGGGTCCACGATTCCCAACCTTATTCTATAACCAAGTGGGTGAATCCTCTGCTAGCCTTTGTAGATTTCAAGATTGTCTTGGAGCTATTTATAAATGCCCATGGACATTTCTACTTTACCAGTCACTGCTGAAGGCCTAGTGACTCAAGGCGCAGCTGTATTTGGTCATAGAAGTAAATAAAGAGCAGAGAGTTCACAGGGAGTGCCAAGCGCCTTGGGACTTCTCTGCCCTCCTTGAGCGTTAGGCCCTCTGAACGGATGGACCAGCATGGCCACAGAATGCTGCTCTGTCCTGACAGTGGGAATAATGAAAGCCCTTGTGCTGATGCAGGGGATAGGGGTGCAGGGTGGGGGAGGGGGCAGAGGCGGCAACTTGCTGAGCTTATGTCTAGGAAAAAAGCTTGTCTTTTTTTTTTTTTTTCTTCCTAAGAATAGTATCTGGCTTGTTCCTTTTCATAAAAGAAAATGTTTGAAGTATGGATGTTTCCAGCCTGAGCTTCTCAGTGCCAGGGTGCTCCCGGGGGCAGTACCATCCTGCACAGGGGGACAGCACACAGAGGCTCGGGCAAAGAAGGAGCAGAACTCAGCACAAAGGCCTTAGCTACTAACCGATGTCATCTGCTTCACACCATCTGCCACTTTATGGCCATTTGTGAATTTGTTGCTTAAACGGACAAGGAGTCACCCAAGTTTTTCTCTTTGTGGTATTTATATTGCATGAAAATGCTCCTTGATTTTGGCATACTGATCTTTATTTCTCTTGATCCAGGGTTGCTTTTGCAAGCCAACCCTTACTGAGGGTCTGCCGTGTTCCAGAAGCTCTACGATGTGTATTACATGTGTTATTTCATCTGATCCAGTCCATAACTGTGCACAAAGTTGGGCATTATCTTTGTTTCTCATGCAAGGGAACTGAAGCTCAGAGAGGTGAAGCAACTTGCCCAACGCCTCACAGCCTGTGAGTTGCAAAATATAAATTCGGACCTTAGTTAGTTTGGCTCCTTGGTCTGGAGAGCACTCATCTGAAGTGCAGAGTGGACAGCATCTGTAGCTTCTCACTGTTGCTTTTTGCGTTCATCTGTCATTCTGTGTATTCTATGAAATTGTTTATCCACAGGAACCCTGCAAAGTTTAGAGGTTTATCAAGCTGACAGACATGCAAAGGATAAGTTTTTAGATGTCACCTAGGAGGTGTCAGATCGAGTTGGGGTATGGAGTGTGTCTAATTTATAGAACACCTTAATTAGGCAGAATTCACATCCCTTCCAGAAGTAAAGCATGTATGTCCTGTTGCTAATATCCTGCCAGGTTCTGCGGTGATCAAGCTCAAGATACCATAAAAATGACACTTTAATAATTGAAAAATGGCACTCTTACCAAAGATCTCTTGAAATTTAATAATTTCCCTTCTTTTTCCATTTTTCTATATATTTTTCACAACTCTCTGTATTTCAAGGAACAAGAAAACTTCAGAGTGGGTTTTTTGGTTAACCTCAAAGATTGCATCTTAATGATATCAGTAGGCATCCTTTTTTGAAGACGATTTATAATCTAAGGTGCTAATCAAGGTTCATTTCATGATTCTTTAGGCAGTTTTGGGAAAGCCCAAAAAAGCGTTTAGAAAATGTCATTTACTTTTATTCAGCTATCACTAAAATAGCCAAATTGAGGAAATTAGGCTCTTACAAACAAACCCCAAATAAGAGTACTTAATGGAATAAACGAACAAAAATAGTGAGGACTCCACCCTTTGTAAACGTTGCCCAAGAGTAGGAAAGTTTCCCACCCCTTTAGCGATCTTCACTCAACAAAAAATGAGTCAACATTTGAGGAAGGAACAGCTAAAAATGAGAAAGAAAAGGAGAGGTCAGGGATTTTCAGCATCCACCCTAGGTCTGTGGCATTCAGTTTTGTCTTCAAAGCGTGTTCTCCACCAGTCACATGCAAAGCGCAGAGCCTAGCTTTCCGGTCTGTCTGCACTGCCAATTCCTTCTGTGGAGAAGTTAGATGTTTTGTAATTCACCAAATGGGCCCAGGCTCAGGTGTGAGGATCCTTCTACAGCGGCTGACCCCACCTTCTGGGTCTCTACCTCGTTAACTGATTTTTTTTATATATATATCATCATAAACCCACTTTTAAAATGTGCTGATCTCTTAATGTTAAATGCTCGGTGCAAGTTTCTAGCTGGGCCTCCAAAGACGCAGGTCTCCCAACAGGTTGGGTTAACTTGCAGTTGAGATGGCATAGTGTAGAACCATGTTCCCCCAGCCTGAATCCCCCCAAACTGCTCCCCAATATCTAAATCCTATGAGGATTTCCACTCCTACTGACCATGAGCAATGGAAGCTTTCAGGACTCGCTGTCTGGGGCTGCCCTCCATGCCCAGGGTGGATACATCCAGTATCACTCTGAGTACATGCTTCTCCGCCTTGGGTATGTACGAACACTTGTCACTGGGCACAGTTAATGAGATTGTAGCAGAATATGTATGTTAACTAGATATAAATTCATGTTCATTTATAGGGAAGGATATCTCTTTCTGCTCATTGTGTTATTAGCCCAGAGAGAAACTGACATTGTGATGCATTTGACCTAGCCCGAATCACCAGCATTGGATGAGTTAGGGCTTTCCCAGTTTTATACGAGAGAAAGGGTGAATTGGACAAGATAAGAATATTCAAAAGCCCCCAGGGTTCAATGTCACTTACTTGTGAATGAAGCGCTTGGGACCCAGATTCATCATACTACTATTCAAATACATAGAGCTTATTAATTTTTTCAGTAACTATTAATAATTCGGTACGAGTTTATTCATTATTTAGTAAGAACTAAACCACAAGCCTTCTCTGGCATTACTAACCCTCCGACTGTGGGTCTTTGGCCATTAGGCAATAAAAAGGAACATTTTTACTCCTCGTCCCAGTACATCCAAATCCGTGCTCTCTTTTGATTCTCATCCTAGCAACCCTGTGAGGTCAGAGTTGTCGTTTCCAGTTTGTGTGTGAGTAGGCGGAGGTGGGGGACTCGAGTCACCCGGCGTTGCTCAGCAAGTGGGCAGTGGGGGCAGGGCCTGACCCTGGCCTTCCAGCGCTGGGTCTCATCAGCCTCCCCCTTCCCCCCTTTCTCTTCCCTCTTGTCTTTCCTGTCTCCCTTCTTCTCAATTAGTCTTCTTTCATTATAAAGAACAAAAGGTCTTGTCTTAGATTGTGTCCACCTGCTTCCCCAGGGACCATCGCCTGGTCTGGCCCTCAGTCCTGTGTTTATCTGGAAAAACTTCTTTGACACAGAAGGGCAGGAATGTGCCTCCAGGCTGTCCCATCTGTTTACCAAGAGTCTTTAGAAAATTACAAGGTGCCATCCTGCCAGAAGACTGCTGTCTGTACCCACATCCTACGTGGTGTTCATAGGGGTATGTGCCATAATATATGCGTTTTTTTCATATGGGGAAAGAGACTCTAAATGGAGGTCTAAATGACCTTCCCACAGTGTCCCTGGGACTTAGGGACAATCAAAGTTCTAAATGACCTTCCCACAGTGTCCCTGGGACTTAGGGACAATCAAAGTTCTAAATGACCTTCCCACAGTGTCCCTGGGACTTAGGGACAATCAAAACCCATCAAGTCACAGTTTTCCACGCTGATTTTCTGTAGGACACAGTTCATTTTCAGTTCCAGATTTTCAACAGCTTTAGTAAGTTGTTTTTTTTTTTTTTTTAAGATTTTTATTTATTTATTTGACAGAGAGAGACAGCGAGAGAGGGAACACAAGCAGGGGGGAGTGGGAGAGGGAGAAGCAGGCTTCCCACTGAGCAGGGAGCCTGATGCAGGGCTCGATCCCGGGACCCTGGGACCATGACCTGAGCCAAAGGCAGACGCTCAATGACTGAGCCACCCAGGCGCCCCTTTGGTAAGATTTTTTAATGCATCCCCACAGAGAGCAATTAACTCTGTAAGGACAGGAATGAGTCAGTTGAATGCTAGTGACAGCTCTGCCTCACCCACACAAAGTGGCTGTGTGACCTTGTGTAAGTCATGTGAATTTCCTGGAACCAGAAGTGCAATTAGAAGGGACGGGGGTCCCTTCCAGATGTAATGTTCCATGGTTCTAAGGATTATAATTTACCTTGTAACTCGATAAGCTTCTTAAAGGCAGGGCCCATACATCGTGTCTGACCCTGGGTTATTGCCAGGATGCCCATGGAGGGGCAGGAGGGGGTGGGGAGGCAGAGACAGCACAATAGGAGACTCCCACCAAACAGGCCGGTGGAACTTTCTGGAAGTGGAGGCTGAGGCTGAGAGCAGCCTGCAACATGAGCAGGGCCCCTGAGGGTCATGACTCAGAGAGTGCCAGGCAGGGTGGAAGGAGGAAGGAATTGAGGCCCAGATTCTGTTAGGGCACCGGAGGCCTGGTGTCCGAGGGTAGCCCACCATCTAGCAGTCTTGGTCACCAACCAAAGAACACCGTGAGGGCTGCGATGAGGGAGCAGGTGCCAGGCCGTGGTGGAGAGCTGTGGCAGGTGCACATCACCTGCAGTCAGGCCAAGAAATGCAGGCCCCTGGGCACCAGGCAGTGTTCAGAAACTGAGTGCCAATCCTAGTGCAGCCGGTGGCTGTGTGGGGAGTCAGCCTTCCCTGAGCACAGGCCTGGCAACTCAAAGGGTCCACATTAGTAGGCAGTGAGGGAGTCTTGGAAAGCCCTGCAGGGGTCCGGCAGCTGCCCCAGGCCTGGGCTCTGGGGGTGGGGGTTTAGTAAAAACCCTTGTAGATAGGAGACTAAGCAGCTTGGGAGTTCCTGCTTCAGTTGGGGCTGGCTCCAGCGCAGGGCAGGCCTGAGTATGGAAGGGAGAGGGATCCACTGGCCCAGTCCAGAAGTTTCAGGAGCACCTGGAAATGACACAAAGACAGCTAGTGGCTGCTGGTTCTCCCAATTGAGGTCGGCAGCCCCTCCAAGTCCTTCTGTGCGATACAATACCCTCCCCAGCCCCACCAAACCAAGCCAGGCATTCACTGTCCAAGGCAAGGAAATTGCTAGTCTTACCACGTATTCATCATATCCTCAGGAATGCAGTTAGTCTGACACTCTAAATAAAGCATTCCCAAATTTGGGGTTTCCCTTTCTCAAAGAATCATATAAATGATTTAAGTTGTTTTAATTTGAAAAATAGGTAAATAAGTGTACTAGTGACAGAGAGGTTTCGACACCTCCCTTTCACATCATCTGGTCCGAGCCCGTCTGCGTTTACGTTACACACTTATTTTAGGTTTCAGATCTTAGCAGAATGTTCTGGGCTGTGCCCAGTGTGGGTCCATACACAGAGGCTCTCAGCTGAGGTAGAGGATGTCTCTGCTTACCCCGTTTATTCAATTTCCATTCTTCCACAAGATTATAGAAGTCTGTTTTCTTTAACAAAGGATCTTCCATAGCTGCCTAGTCGTTTTCTTTTTGTCATCGCTGTTCTGTTTTTCATCCATTCCCATTTTATTTTCTTGACTTCTAAATGACTCTATAGAATTCTGGCATACAAAGAGAACTTTTGTAACAAATATTTCTTCACGTCCTAAAGTTGGAAATCAGCAGAAGAGTGGAAATGTTGAGGAAGGGGGTGACACAGCCAAGCAGAGCCCACCGCAGCAGGGTTCACCACCTCTCCAGTGACAGTCCCTGGCCTGCTACGGCCAGCTGATCCGGGTGTCTGGAGTTTCCCCTTCGTGTACTGGGGGTCCCTGTCCCAGAGGGAGCTTCTGCCGTCTGGCCTAGTCCCACACAGCTGGTCTGGTGCAGAAAGGACCTCCATACCGTCTATAGAGATCCTGGGGTTCAAACTCTCCACGGAGAGGTTACAGGAATTTTCATCTCCCTGTTCACCGGGCACAGATTTCCATGCAGATTAGCCACTTACGTCAGATCAGCCATTTGCATCAGCCTCCAGTTTCGTTTCCTGGTGCTCCCGGGCCCCGGCCCTGCTGAAACTTTCTTTAGGTCTTCTGGTTAATCACCAGAACTAAGGTCTTTCTGCCCAGGCCCCACCCACCCCTCTTGCTCCCTGCACAGACTCGGCACGGCTCAGTGCCAGAGACCTTGCCCGAGTCAGTCGCCCCACCCTATCCCCAGCCACCGGCCCGCTTCCAAAGCAGGGAGCTCATGGCACTGTGCTGGCCCCTGGTCTCCCAGAACCTTCATCAGCACCACAGGAGGTTAGTGGAGGCTCATTCTAATTCTCCATCGGCTCCTGGCCCCCACAGCAGTCTGCCTTCCCTACTTTCTGAGATGTGCCACAGCCACATACATGGCCCTGCCCCAAATAGGGCCTGCAGTGTGTTACCTCCACACCACCATCTGCGCTCTCCACTCTCCTGGATGGCCACAGCCCTCCCTCACATCCAGTCTTCGGGGCCCAACTCAGGTGTCACCTCTTCCTGGCCCTTCTTCCCCACAGGCTTTATCTGTCACAGCCCACTCCCCCTCCTGGTCCTTCTTGGTGGGGTTTTCTCTGCCCACTTTCCCTCGGTGGTCTCAACCACTCCTGTGGTTCTGGCCACCACCTACCTCTGCTCCAGCTCTTAAACCCGACACCCAGGCCAGCTCTCTCTGGAGCTCGGACTCGGCCCGGGAGGGCAGAACCCTCTTTCCAGGCACCTGTAGACAGCACCACTTGGGGTCCTTCATGTACTTCACATTCTAGACGCCCAGAAGCAGTTTTGTAACGTAGCCCCCCAGCCCCCTGATCCTCGCTCTTCTGTCCGGAGGGCCATGGCCCTGCACAGGCACCTGTTATGTGTTATGATACATTTAGGACGCCTTCCTGTTTATCTTTCTGGTGCAGTTCTAAATAGCATGTCCTTACTGACATATGCCCCTTCAGGTACATGCCTACATTATCAGCCACCTGAAGAAGGAGATGCCGAGTGTATTCGGAAAGGAAAACAAGAAGAGAGAGCTTATCAGCAGATTGCCAGAGATCTACCTTCAGCTGCAGCGAGAATACCAGATTTCTGCCGGGGACTTCCCAGAAGTCAAGGCAATGCAGGTACTGAGAGCCCATTGTAGCATCACGGGCAGGTAACGGAGAGGCAACGCCACCTTGTCTGGCTGGTTGCTGGGTACTCATGAAGGTTTCATGGTTTAGGATAGAGAACGCGGGTCACCTGGGTGACTCAGTCACTTGAGCAACTGATTTCGGCTCAGGTCATGGTCTCAGGGTCATGAGATCAAGCCCCAGGTCAGACTCCGTGCTGTGTGTGGAGCCTGCTTAAGATTCTGTCTTTCCCTCTCCCCCACCCCTCTTTAAAAAAAGGGATAGAGGGCGCCTGGGTGGCTCAGTTGGTTAAGCGTCTGCCTTCGGCTCAGGTCATGATCCTGGAGTCCCTGGATCGAGTCCCACATCGGGCTCCCCGCTCAGCGGGGCGTCTGCTTCTCCCTCTGACCCTCCCCCCTCTCATGCTCTCTCTCTCTCATTCTCTCTCTCTCAAATAAATAAATAAATAAAATCTTTAAAAAAAATAAAAAATAAAAAAAGGGATAGAGAAGGCAATGAATGCATCTTCCTAGTGGTGATCCATGATAATAGGTTTCTATGAATAAAGCAGAGATTGTCTGCCTCCCCAAAACATCTAACCAAAAAGGGACACATTTCAAGAAGTAAATTTATACAATGGAATATTAGTCATCAAAAAGAATGAAGTCTTGCCATTTGCAACGATGTGGTTGGAGCTAGAGTGTATTATGCTAAGTGAAATAAGTCAGAGAAAGACAAATACCATAGATTTCACTCATGTGGAATTTAAGAAACAAAACAGATGAACATAGAGAAAGGGAAGGAAAAGTTGAAATAGAGAAGGGAAGCAAACCATAAGAGACTCTTTTTTTTTTTTTTAAGATTTTATTTATTTATTTATTTGTCAGAGAGAGCACAAGCAGCGGGAGCTGCAGGCAGAGGGAGAGGGAGGCTCCCTGCCGAGCGGGGAGCCAGATATGGGACTCGATCCCAGGACTCCAGGGTCATGAACTGAGCTGAAGGCAGATGCTTAACCGACTAAGCCACCCAGGCGTCCCCATAAGAGACTCTTAACCCTAGGAAACAAACTGAGGGTTGTTGGGGGGGGGGATGGGGTAACTGGGCGATGGGCATTAAGGAGGGCACGTGATGTAATTAGCACTGGGCGTTGTATGCAACCAATGAATCACTAAATTCTACCCCTGAAACTAACAATATACTAGGTTACCTAAATTGATTTTAAATAAAAAATTACTCTTGTAACAAAAAGGAAGTAAATTTAGGTCATGTGAAAAAATCAGATGAGCAGGCCTCTTAGGCTGTGTTCATACTTGTTCTGGCATTAAGTGACCCCTGTTTTTTGGAATCCCAGAACCTTAAGGGAAGTAGAGCTGGCAGGGACCTTGGAGGTCACCTCAGGAGGCGTCCTCAAGACCGGACCGCCAGGCACTGGGAGAGTACACACTCAAGCAGCGTTGCTGTTGCAGGCTCAGAGTCCATAGGGCTCTCCGGGCATGGCTGGACTTCATGGGTACAGCAAGTTGTGCTCACTAAAGATTTTGCCTACGGGTTGGCATTGGGCAACTTTGGACCCGATTTTAGGGTCTCCCTGAGTTGTGTCTGAGCAGCCCAATGAGCCCAAATGGATGCTGCATTCAGCCACCCTGGCCTGTCCAGTGTGTCTATATCTACCACCCTGCAGTGGTGTTATGTTAGTAAAGCACATCAACACTGACCATGTCTTCCCAAGCAAGGCCACCCCACCTGGCTCCTCACAGAGTCAGACTGACCACCTTTTTGTCCAGAGCAAGGACCCATCTGCCCTAGAGGCCACCGTCCTCCTGGAAAGCAGGCCACACAAACTCAGATGCCTGTAGCTAGTGAGGCAGGCCGGGCCAAGAAAAACCACCTCGCCCTCTTTGATTCTGCTTGTCTTCCCACATTTGATGGAGATGTAGGTTCTGGGAAATGGGACTATCCCAGGAGGGAAACAGTGTGCGAGTACAGTGAGAACTGTAGGGGCCCACCGTGGGGGCAGGCCTGGGAATCGGTGCCCTGCTTCGCTGTGTGGAAAAGGCCGGACCTGCCCGGTGGGAACATGGGCCTGGATGGTTCCACAAGAAGCTGCAAATCTAGATTTGTATGTAAAGTCCCCTGGTTTTCAACTTGTAGCTCCAACTTTCCAAAGAGTACCACCTAGTCCAGACAGAGCATCCTGCAATTCTGGCCACACCCTGGAGACCTCCGGGTACCATCTTCTGCCCTGAGCCACAGAGGAGGGCGGGGCTCGAGGAAGAGTGGTCGAAGATAAGCAGCTGGAAGCTGGGCCGGCGAGCTGCCTGGCTGCCTCAGGAGGGCGGCGGGAGGAGGCGAGATGGAGCAGTAGAGGCAAGGATCAACAGGCAGCAGGAGGGGACGCTTCGGCCTTGAGGAGTTTTGTAATGTGAACTTTCTATAAAGGACACACTAACAGAGGAGTGAGTCATACTTACTGTCGAGGTGGCAGGGTTCAAGGTGATAAGAGCATGGAATATATGCTGTGGTCAGATACGACGTAGCTGGCTTCAAAATAAATCCAGAACATCTTTTTCCTTCCAGAAATGAAGTAGGTAGTCCTGTACTCAGAGGATGAGTTGGGGGGCAGGGGACGGTTCTCATCGCAAGATGGCTAATTGGGGGGCTGCTTGGCCCCCAGAGCGGTCTTCCTGGGCAGGCCCGCCTTCACGCCCTTGGGCTGTGCCCCGCACCCCATGACCAAACTGAGGGACAGCTGTCTCCTTGCATCCTTCAGATATTTTTTAAGGGAAATTGGTTTCTTGACCGCAATGAAAGCTAAGAATAAATACACAGTGCACACTATGGCCTCATGGGGCCTCTGTGGCTCATTAGCCTCATGAGCCACCACAGTGCCCCACCCACAAGAAGATGCCACTCCCAAGACCTGAGGCACCCCTGAGCCCAGCAGGAAGCCGCTATAAGCCTCCTTTACAGGACCTGCACACCTGTCCCCAGGTGACCTCCCATAACACAGGCAGCACACAGCGACCAGAGCTTCTCACGGCCGTGTCAGCCTCGGCTCAGCCACGTCCGAGGAAGCCCAGGCCTCTCCGAGCTGGAGCAGAGGGGTGGTCCCTAGGGAAGAAGACAAGGAAGCCATGGGCCCCTGTTTTAGCATCTCAGGAGAGGCCTTAGCACTGTCAGTAGACACCTGAGTGCCCCTAGCCCTTGCAGCGAGGAGTGCCACCTGACGGGTACCCTCATTCGCCCGTGTTCATTTACTCACTCACCAAGAAATAGTAAGTGTACCATGCCAGGCAGTGTTCTAGGTCCCTGGGATAAATCCGTGAATAAACAGCACACATCCCTGCCCCTATGGAGTGTACGTTCTGGATTACAGTATTAGCCGTTGTGACTGTGGCTGGCAATGAAGTTTTGGCAGCCAAGCCTGACGTTAGGACTTGTGCTCTTTGTTACAACCCCAGTGCTGTGGTGCTTCAGTGTCATTCATTTATTTATTCAGTGGCTCTCTCCCTCATGAGGCTCCGGAGGCCAGTGACCCATGTCCTGGCAGCGCCATATCCCCAGGGGGGTAGCAGGTGCCCAATGAACAGTTAGATGAGCTCCTTGGCAAGTTAGTGTGTGTTTATATCAAGCAGGCTGGAAGATAGTGAAGTTCTCGGACCGTGACCTCGCCCTGACACCCACACGGCTTATAGAGAGACCAGCAGTTTTCAGAGCAAGTCCCTGGAAGCTGGAAAAGAATTCCTCCTTGGGAAGCTGGCCAGGCCCTGATCACACCACCCCAGACTCCCCCAAGGAACAGGGCAGGCCTGGGGGCCCGTGACCTGCTGGAGAAGCAGCCTGTGTCTGCCCTGCCCCCTTTTGGGAGGGAATCCGACTTACCACACGGAAGGGTCCAGCCTAGGGAGTGAGAACACTAGCAAGGCCCCTTGGATTGCGGACTCAGTTTCCCTCCTCGGAGAGCCCGGCCCCCTCCGCTGACGAGGGGGCAGCATTCCCACGGCAGAGGGCAGCCGAGCCGTCACCACCGGCTCAGGCCCACCGTAAACTGGAACGCGGCTTCTGGTGAACGTGGGCAGTGAGCGGGCAAGAGAGAGGCCAGCGAAGACTGGGCTGGGAACTGACCTTTGTGCCTTGGGAGGGAGAAGTTCCAGGATCCCGGGCTTGCTGGCTTTGATGGATATAACTGCTGACGGGTAAATCCGTAAATTCCCCCATGTGTATTCATCCCTATACAAAGATGTCCTTTGGGAGCGAACCTGGTGGAGGGCAGGGACGGCGGCGGTTTCATTTGCACCCTATACTCCCTGGTCAGGCCTTGGGATGAGAGTAGAGGGCTTGTTTCCTCTGTGCCCTCCAGGCAAGGGGTGGCTGCTACTGTTACTTCCTGTCCACCCCTTCAGACATGTGGCCATTTCCCCTTCCACCCCTGCAGACATGTGGCCATTTCCCCTTCCAGCGGATTGCCATCGGAACCACGGACCCCGCAGGTAGCTGGAAGGTTCGGGCGGACTCCGCCCTCGTTCGTCTGCTTGGCCAGACACAGAGGCTTTGTGTGTGCTCGGAGCTCAGGCTCATTCATGGGGAAGGAGGGTAGGTGTCTGTGCACCCAGGGGAATCCAGACTTGTTTACCCCAGCAGCACTCGGATTTTTGTGTAGGCTGCCTGCTGTGCTCCTCCTCCTGGGCTTCGCCTTCTCCATCCCCCTGGCTGACTGAGCGAGCGGCAGTCGGCAACGCCGAGTGCTGGTACTGGAGTGGCATGCAGGTGGCCGTGGTCTGTCAGTGAGGAGAGACAACACGTAAACCGGAATGGGTTTAGCAGCCGGGCCCGCACCACCGTGCGGCTGTCAACCCAGCCCGGCCCCACGTGGTTCAAGGGCCTCAGAGTTTGCTACTGAGTAGTGTGTGGAGGTGCCTCTCTACACATCCATCAAGGTGTTCAGCTTTTAGCTCTGTCCCCCGACCTGAAGCTCAGGGCCCCCCTTCCAAATAACAGCACAGAATGTCTGCCCTGCTGGTACACTCTAGAGACCACAATTCTGACTCATGTCCAACCACACGGGATAGGGTAAACGAAGAATGGCGCAGCTGTACAGTTCGATATTATACAGCTCTTACAAATAAGGTTGTATAAAAATTATTATCAGGGAAAGATGGGATACATTTTTTTCTTAAAAATGAAAGTTGTCAAACAGTATGGTCTTACTTCAGTTAAAGAGTGTGTGTGTGTGTGTGTGCGCGCGCGTGCGTGTGTAAAAATGGCTGGAAATATGTGCCCAAAGAAAGTTAGCAGAAGGTATTCCTGGGTGATGGAATTATAAGTGATTGAAATGTTTTATTTTGTCTATCAGTTTTTTCCCAAATTTTTACAATAAAGATGTGATATTTATGATTGCACAAAATTTTGCTTTTTTCCCCTAACTGCCCATCACATTACTTCTGCCCAAAACAGTCAGGTCTGAATGAAACCTCTTTTACTCAGGGGTCTCCCTACCTCATCTCCAGAAAATTGCACACCTGTATGGCCCCTCGCTGGCCTTCTAGAATTTTCCTAACAAATATTTCATATAAAGCCCATATAAAAACTTCCATATCTGGAATTCTCTGCATTTATTTGGCAAAACTGCTGTTGAAGACATTTTTCAAAGATCATAAAAGGCCCCAGGTACCTCTCATAATTCAGAAAAAGTTTGTCTCTTGCAACAAACAGGTGGTTTCTTTCCTCAGGCAGTGAGAGGGTGCCCCCCCCCCGCCCCAGCACCCCAGCCAGGGTGTCTGAAGGGCAGTAGCTTTTCTCACCTTAGAAGTCTGATGTAATGGTCCCCTTGCTCTCCCTCTTAATTACTTAGCTTTTCCCTTTCTAATGACTTTCTTCTATTTCATGTTCTCATTTTTCCACTGTAAGTTAAGTCAAACCCTTTTTAAAAGTAGACAGGAACTAAAAAAACTAGAATGTTTTCCCTCTTTTAGAACATAAGCTCCCTAAGGGCAGAGACTGTGGCTCTTTGTGGTTATATTATCCCCAGGATCCAAACAGAGCCTGGCAATAACTGTTGGATGGGTCAGTGGATGAAGGATGGATGCATGGATGGATGGATGGGTGGATGGATGAGTAACCAAGGAGAACCAAGGTAGGAAGGACTGCTTCTACAGGGCAACCACAGAGCCTATGTGGCATCTACGGTTGGCTCCCGTCCCGGTCGGGCAACTGCTGTGTCCCAGGGCCCTCCCCGGTTCCTGCCATGCTCCTGCCACTCTGTCTGCTGATGGGCCAGTTCTCCTGGCAGGTGGAGCTGAGACCTGCCCTGCCTGGGCTAGTGATACTTAGCCCCACTGGCTGGATTCCTACTCACCCTCCCCATTCCTACTCTTTTCCCACTTAACAGTTTCAACTTTTACTTACTTGTACCTTAAACAACGTTTTTTTAACATCCCAAGACAACATCCTTAAATAATGGTTTTACCTGAAAGGACCCTGTGACACAGCTTCATGTTACAGCACAAAAGAGCATTAGTCAAGAGGCAGGAACCATGGGCTCTCATTTTGGCTCTGTCAGAACACCCCATGTGCTGTCCATCAAACAGGGGTTATTCACCCCTGCCCTTCCTTACTCCCAGCATTGTTGTAAAGATCAACAGAAGTATGTCATAAGATCACCTTAGAAGGTAAAATGTTAAATCTCTAGAGCGCACACACACACACACACACACACACATAAAAAGGCAAGCTTGAAGAAAGGGTGTCCAAAAGCCCTAGGGGACAGCTATCCCCCACATGGCTGCCCGCCAAAGATTAGCTAAAAAAAAAAAAAAAAAAAAAAAAAAAGTTGTCTTCTCTGCATCTTGTTTCTTTTTCCAAAAGCCGCTCCTGGATCTGGTAAATTCGGATGTGGGGACCCCACCAAAGAGAGAGAGCTCTGGAGCAGCCCAGGGATGGGATGTCTGCTTAAAGGACAATTCTGCCTGCAGCTCACCCTCTCCCTGTCTGCTTCCTAAGCGAGGGCCTGTGACCAAGTCTGTGGTTTCTCCTCTTGCAGGAACAGCTGGAGAGCTATGACTTCACCAAATTCCACTCGCTGAAGCCCAAGCTGATCGAGGCGGTGGACAACATGCTGAGCAGCAAGATCTCGTCCCTGATGAACCTCATCAGCCAGGAGGAGATAAGCATGCCCACTCAGCTCGTGCAGGGCGGTGCCTTCGACGGCACCACTGAGGGCCCCTTCAACCAGGGCTACGGGGAGGGTGCCAAGGAGGGTGCCGATGAGGAAGAGTGGGTCGTGGCCAAAGACAAGCCCATCTACGATGAGCTCTTCTACACCCTGTCGCCTGTCAACGGCAAGATATCAGGTGTCAACGCCAAGAAGGAGATGGTGACATCCAAGCTGCCCAACAGCGTCCTGGGCAAGATCTGGAAGCTGGCTGACTGTGACTGTGACGGCATGCTGGACGAGGAGGAGTTCGCGCTGGCCAAGCACCTCATCAAGATCAAGCTGGACGGCTACGAGCTGCCCAGCAGCCTTCCCGCCCACCTCGTGCCCCCCTCCCACAGGAAGCCCTTGCCAAAGGCCGACTGAGGGGTGGGCTGCTCTCAGGGTAGGCAGTGGGCGGTAGGGGTGGCGGGGAGGTGGGGAGGCGCGGGCCTGAGGCCCGTGCTGCCACTGACTCACTGACTCTGGCCACGGCGCTGCCCTCTGTGCCTCAGTTTCCCCACCGGTGGAATGAGGAGGGCAGACACAAGTCACTAGATGAGGTTCTTTCACCTCTGAAATTCCCTGAGTTTCTATTAAAATATTGGGAGGAGGGGGTGGGTAAGGAGATCGAAGGGTTGAGAAAAAAGAGAAATTGACCAAAGAGTACTGGGAGGCCCGGAGAGATGTAGACGTGGGGGCCAGCTGGGTAGACTCCCACAGCCACAGGGGGTGGGCTGGGGGCTCTTCCGGAGCCGGGGAGCCTGTGCGGCGCTGGGCCACACACCATCATGCACCTGCTTTGGCTCCTGTCTGTCCCTTAGAGGGTACCAGGAGGGAGCAAAGTTGATCTTATTTATTTCGTTTCCTGCTGTGTTGAGAGTGGAACATAACAGAGCACAGAAGGTTTCTGTTCTCTCCAGGCCATCTACCAAAGAGAAGACTGCTTCCCCTGGGTTTGTGCCTGTGTTTGTCCCCATCCCTCCTGCAGGCTGGAGCGGGACAGGCAGCCAGGCCAGCAGAGAGCATCCGTGATACCCAGCACCCCCCTGACTAACCCACCCAGAGCTCCCCCCACCCCGGACCTTCCCAGCAAAGTTGCATTTGGTTGGGAATTTGGAACTCAGAACCTTTATTAGCCCCTGGCAAGATTTCTAGTATTCAAGTCATGTTGAAGTCTGAAGGTGGGCTTTTCTTACTGGTCTGTCCAATAATTTGTAGCAAAGTCTATTTATCATAATCAAACTACAGTAAAGGAAAGAGGTGGTTCTCTGCGGTCGTCAGTGTGGTGACATGTCCCCAAGGCTCCTTGGTCAATGACAGGATTTAAATTTAAACCCATGTCTTGGTGCCTGCAGTGTGCTGGGCCTAGGGACCCAAGGGAAACACAAGGTGAGCCCGCCTCAGGTTGTCAGGTAGTAAAGGTCATTCTCTAGCTTTAGACACTATTTTTATTTTAAAAAATAGGCATTTTTATTATGTCCAGTTTTTCTTACAAGAAAAGCCTTTATACAGAAACAGGACAGAATCTTTCATATGAAGCCTTTTCTTCAAAAGGCTGTGAGGTTCATAGTGTGCATGCCCATCACAAGGCAGGATTTGGTTCCTGAGTGTTCTCTCTCTAAGTCTCCGTATAAAGCTCTCTGGTCCACTCACTCAGGTGCCCATCAGGCGGAGGCGGAAGCGGGTAATGCTCACTGCCACCTTCCCTCCTCTGTGGGCTACTCACTTCATTATTATTTATGCAGTACAAAAGAGAGACACAAAATGGTGATGGCCGCATGGCACTGAAGTGAAGGAAATCAGAACAGTCCCGCCCGAGCCTTCCAAAAACCACAGTTTTTTCTTTTTCTGATATTGCCTGTGACATCAGGATGAGAGATGCAGACTTAACATTTTTATTTTGGGGAAGCTTTTATCCAGATGCCACCCCTCACACTCCCTAGTTTACTTTTTAAATACTATCACTTTAAGAGAAGTAAATTCATAATAGGATTTTTAATCTTAATGAGCACTTTGAAATTAATCAGAAACGTAGCAAAGAAAGGTTTATGTCAGTACTGTAATATAAGCAGATGGTTTGGTGAACCCCATGAGGACTGCCCAAGTGTGCACCCACAAGGGGGTCCTCCAAAGGGCAAAGCAGAGGGAAAAAGAGAGAATTCATTGCTCCAAAGGTTTGGCGATGCCAGGGTTAGCCGCTTTTCCACTCAGATTTATCCTGTTCTTTTAGTTATTCCCAATCGTCATAAAGATATATATATACACACACACACCACATGAGTATGTATTCTTGATACTTCTCAACGGGTATATATGCAGATACGGCCCAGTTTTGTCTGTGCAGACATATAGGAAAGCTTTTAGACTGAGGTTTCTGCTTTCTACACGGAAGGAAACTTCTCGAGGCACTGTGCTCGCCACCCTCATGCCGTCAGGTGGGAGAACATCTGGTAGCTGCACCCTTTCCCTGCTGAGAAAGATTAAAAAAAAAAAAAAAAAGGAAATCACATGCCCATTTTTCTTAACATCTTCTCTTACAACATGATGTCATTCGTTGTGAAAAGTTGATTGGAAAGAAAGCCCTGGAAAACCTCAGGGATGGCTGCCAAGGATGAGGACCCGTATGTTCCCAGGACCCGCACGAAGTTCCTTGAGTCTGTGTCCAAAACACCCCTTATCCTGCCTCCCCGTGCAGCAGGGCTGGGGGACAGCAGAGCCCTCTAGAATTCTGTTCACACTGCCCAACCGCATTGCCTTCCCCACATCACCCCAATTTTCAAAGTACCCCCTCGGCAGGGGGTGTTTTGCAGCAGGGCAGGAGGGTGGAGGTAGGTAAACTCTAGCACTGTGAGACTCTCCATGCTCTCCACAACTCCACGGAAGATCTAAGAATCTTGACTCCGTTTTCCACACAGCCCCTGGTACCACGTAACAAACCTCTGCAGCCTTGAGTTTAGGGGGGAAATCAATTTCTGCCTCCCCCTCCCAAAGTCAGCTTGCAAGTTGGAAGCCTGCCAATGAGGCCCTCCTGAACCGATCTGTAAAGAAACGTTGCACCAAGACCTCTCACAACCCTTCGGTTTCATGGCAACGTGCAGGCATCCAACCTGCTCCAGCCCAGCTTTGTACCTGGAGTCCTTCCTTACTGCACACTGGGATGGCCCACAGGTCCCCCTGCGAGGGGGAGGGCCATTCATTTAGCTTTCACCTTTCCAGGGCTGGACTGGGTCCTCAGAGCACTTGTCATTATGCAGCTATAGCGTCTTTTGATTTGCAGTTGTTCCTCCTGCAGGACGGTGGGCCTTTGAGGAGTTAAATTCTGTATCACGGGACTGAGTGTCCAGGCAGATCAACAAGCATGTGCGGAGAAGCCAATGCCTCCTGCCCTCCCCTCAACCCCCGCCCTGATTACCAGCCCACGGGGGAAGCCTCCGCAGAGCCGTGGCCCCACCACCCCTGACCACAGCCCTTTGCCATGCTTCCACCGGGCCTCCCGAGGAGCAGCCTGTCCACCACACTGGGAATGTCTTACACTGCAGCCCACTGCCCAGTGGGGGGCTTAGCCACCAGTCACGGCCTGACAGCCACCACTGGGACCTCCCCACTTTGCACCATTACACTCCTTCATTACGCCCAGAGCGGTACCCCAGGAAAATTGCCTTGAAGATCAGGAAAGCCGTTAACAGAGGCACTGTTTATTTCCTCCGCAGAATGTAGCAGAGAAATAACGTTCTTAGGACAGATAACCACTGAGTTTAATCAGGTAAACGGGCCTAATTTAAGAGTGTATCAAGTTACTGTCCATTAGCCCATGCAGTTAATACACAATGCTTCTATTTTTTTGTAATCTTGTTTAGAAGTGTCAAACAAACGAAGACACAATCTATTGATCAATAAACTTCTGAAAAATTTACTACCTTTCCAACATCGGTTCTGGTTTTCCAGTGACCCAGTTGTCTCAGGAGTAAAGCAGGGGGGCACCTGGGTGGCTCAGTCATTAAACGTCTGCCTTCAGCTCAGGTCATGATCTCAGGGTCCTTGCTCGGCGGGGAGCCTGCTTCTCCCTCTGCCTGCCACTCCCCCTGCTTGTGTTCCCCCTCTCGCTGCTGTCTCTCTCTGTCAAATAAATAAAATCTTTAAAAAAAAAAAAAAAAGTAAAGCAGGGATCCAATGGAAATGAGGCAGAGGAGTTAGGGGGGAGGGTGTGCCCCTTCTGTACGCCACCCCTGTGACCCCCAACTCTCCCTATGTCCTCTAGGCTGGGAGACTCCCAAAGTGGGGCTTCTTGAGCTGGAAAGCAGCTCCATTAGCTGGGGGCAGAGGCCAGGTCTGGGAGCAGGCCCCAGCTGAGGATGACTGGAGACCAGGACGGAACCATGGAAGGAGGCCCTTCGGATGCTGGGAAGGGCATCGCTGAGCACTCTCAAAGGACTTGGGTGCCTGCCGCCTCATCCTTTCCAGCTCGGAGACAAGTCCCTGTGCCTGAAGGTGCAGGAGTGCTAGGGTTGGCGCCCCCTGGCCTGCTGGCATTGCTCCTGCCTCTTGTCACACAGCCCTATAGCAGACATCTGGGTTTTTCCCACTGTCACCCATCTAGCCTTGTGGTGATCCAGACCCGAGATTTCCTTTGCAGAGCACTCCCTACTTGCCCACCCTCCGTCTGAGCCACAAGGTTTGGGTGGGATAGACACTTCTCCGGGGTGGGTCATGATTGGCTTCAGCCAATGAGAGTATTTCATCCCCCTGGTCACAAAAATTGGTTCAGGAATGGACATGTGGCTCAGCTCAAGCCTATGAGAGCCAAGTCCCTCAGACTTCTCTTCCAACTCTTGAGAGAAATGTTCTCTCTTCTCTGAACCATGCATGCAGTGTAGAGAAGTGAGCCCATTGGTACAATATGAATGGCATTGAGAGGAGTGCCCAGAGCTACTGGGGGCAGAGGAGTGAGGTTAGGCTGGCAGCAACCACCCTCTGGAGCATGAAGGTGAAGGAAGCATCGAGAAAGGCAGAGGGAGTCCAGGCCTATGGCGCCGTCGTTTGAAACTGCTGGGTCAACCTCACCTAAAGTCCTCCACCTGCCAAACATTTCAGTCCTCTGGGCCAATACCTTCCTTTTATGTTGTTCAAATCTGTTTGACTTGAGATCTTAGTCACTCGCCACATAAATAATCCAAAACTAGGTACTGACGAAAAAGGGATTCTCCTTTCAGCAGGGGCGGCAATCAGTGGCAACAAAAGAGGAACCAGGCCTTGCTGCGTGTGCAGTGGCTTTAGCTGCATCTGAGCTAGGAGATGCAGCTAAAGGAGAAAGAAAAGCAGGCTCAGATGGTTAAGCGGCTGCCTTCAGCTCAGGTCATGATCTCAGGGTCCTGGGATCGAGTCCTGCATCGGGCTCCTGGCTCAGCGGGAAGCCTGCTTCTCCCTCTCCCTCTGCTTTTCCCCTGCTCATGCTCTCTCCTCTCTCTGTATCTCTGTGTTTCAAATGAAGAAATAAAATCTTTTTTTAATGAATAAATAAAATCTTAAAAAAAAAAAAAAAGCAGTTCCTCAGCCCCACTCAGCAACCTAATACAACAACCTCTGTTGAGGTCTGTGTGCAAAGCATCATGCAGCTCCAGCCTGTCCTCTGGTGGTCACATCATACAAGATGCCCTGAGCCAGAGCTCTTAGGAAGAGACCCAAGCTGGGAGAGAGGGGGTAGGTGGCAGGGAACCTGCTAGAAGGAGCAGGATTTTTAACGGGCTGATGGGATAGGAAAATGTGGACAATGAGGAACAGAAGGGACATTCTAAGCTGAAAGAACAGCTGAAGCCCCAATGCAGGCAGAAAAGCTCTGGTCCCTTTGAGGCAATGGGGAGTCTTCATAGGCATGAGCAGAGTTGTGCTCTTGGGGGTAAACTGGGGGGCTGTGCCTAGACTGATGTGCGGGCAAGATGTCGAGTCGGGGAACGGTGATGGGGCCGTGTGGGGGCAGTGCAAGTAGACAGGGTGGGACGGTAGACCATAGGGTTCTGGGGAGCACGGAGCAGGCGCCCCTGAGGACTGGCTCGATCTGGGGCTGTGAGCGAGGAAGAAGCCTGGGCTCACTCCAACATCGGGAAGCCAGCCAGTGGCAGGAAGGACCTGACAGGGAGAGGGCAACGGGGGAGGAAGCTCCTCTCGGATGCAGGGGAGCTGCCCCCAGCCCGAGAGCACCATGCCCCTCACTCCCAGCCACAGGCCCAGGGTGATGGAGTGCTTTGTCCTGCCCAGCTCTGGAGGGCAGGCTGTGGCCGCGCTCCTCTCACCAGCCTTGGCTGCCAGGGACACCTGCCTGAGGAATGCCGCATCTCCTCTCAGAGTCGCTGGGGCTGCTGGATGAACCCACAGACACCCACCCCGGACCAGTGACTATGACCCCGAGGTTAGCCAAAACATCTTGTGAAGCCACCCGAATTAGAACTCTCTCTGGCATGCAGTTCAAGATTGCTCAGGGAGGGAGAGAGAGTTGCCTGTGGGCTCCCTCCACAGCCCCTGCCCTAAGCCCTGAGACCCAGACAGCTCTGTGGAAGCACGGGTGCTGGGGGCCTCACCATGAAGCCCCCAAAAGTGAACACTGTGTCCCTGGCTTTGGAGGAGACTCTGTCATTCCCACAGCCTTTGCAGCTCCTAGTTACCCTCTCCCAGGGAGAGCCCCCTTCAGAAAGTGGCCCCGGGGCATGAGGGAGCACCCACCATTCAGCCCTGGCCAAGTCAGGGCCTGGAAAGCTGAGCCCGGGGTCCAAGGACTGCCCTCCCCTCTATGGTGGCATTCCCCTGGACAGGATGAGAGGGCTGGCATGCTCCCTCCCATCTCCACCCCTGTGGGTGCTCACAAAGAGGCCCTGCAGCAGTGCCAAAGGGCAGTCCCAGACTGGGAAGTGGGGGCAGAAGCTTCTGACCAGGGGCTCTGCCATGTGGGTACCTGGACTGCAGCACCCCCATGGCACTCCCACCCAGAGCCAGCTCGGGGTGCTCCCACGGGCCTCTGTGTCTTGACAGCCAGGACCCCCACCTGACATTGGAAGCACTGGAGGTGGGGGGAGGATGAAGGAGGAGATCCTGGGGCCATAGGCTGGAGCATTCCTGAGCCACCCCCTCCCTGTCTGGGCCACGCCCTTTGGCAGGTGGGAGGACAATGCCCGCTGTGTGCCGTCACCCCTGCCCCGTGGCTCAAGAGGAGGTCCATGGTGTGGCCCCAGCTCCAGCCTTGGCCTCTCCTGTGGTTCTCTCCCTCCCCACGCAGCCCCTACTATCCGCCATTTCCATCCGTCCAGTAGGGTCTCCTTCCCGGCACAGACATCGCCAAGGTGAGTCCTGTTTTCCTCCCACCTGCCCTTTTCATCCTGAGAAGCAGCAGCTAGTCTCCCGTGGTCCGAGGAATCTGGAAAGTGGGGTGGGGCAAAGGGCTCGGAGGCATTTAAGTGTCAGGCACCAGCCGGGAGCTTCAGAGCCTTACCAGGCTAGGCCCTAAGCCACAAGCGCCCCCTCCAAATGTGGGGACCATTCACACTCCTTCCCCAATCTCCATGCCCCTCAACATCTCCAGCTTAGAGAAATACCCCGTGGCCCCTCATCCCTAAAGGGCTGCAGGCCTGCTGGCTGGTCGGCCCCACGGTCCCCAGCAGCTCCTTGGGGCCACAGGGCACCTGCAGCAGGAGGCCAGCCCCAGAGCCCCAGGGCAGCTCCCTGAGTCCTGTCCCACCATGGATTCTGCGTACGAGACGAGCCACATTCGCAAGCTGCAGGTACAGCACATGAGGATGCAGGAGAAGACTTTCACCAACTGGATCAACAACGTCTTCCAGCATGGCCGGGTGAGTGTAGCGGGGCATACCCCGCAGCCTGCCTCTACTGTCCCCCTTGCTCCCTGGCCAGTGGACTCTGGGGGCCAGCCGTGAGGTCATCTGGCTGAGCCTTCTTGCAGACCCCAGAGCCCAGCTGAAACTACTTCTGCTGACCCTAAAGCCCACCTGAGGGCTGTGCTCCTTCCTTAAGGAAGCTGCTCTGGCCTGCCACTCCCCAGTGCTGGGATAGGCCAGACAGGAGAGGGGGGCTGACCCTGTGCCCTTTCCCCACCCCTCCCAGGTGGGCATCAAGCTCCAGAACCTGTACACGGAGCTGGCTGATGGCAGCCACCTACTTAGGCTGCTGGAGCTCATCTCGGGGGAGGCCCTGCCACCCCCCAGCCGGGGCCGCCTGCGGGCGCACTTCCTGGAGAACAACAGCCGTGCTCTGGCTTTCCTCAGGGCCAAGGTGGGTGCTGGGGAGACGGCTTCTGGGCAAGGAGCTGGGGCAGAGGCAGCAGGCATCAGCTGGGCTCCTAGATCATCTTTCCTGGGCTAGCCGGGGCAGAGCAGAGGCTCTGGAGCCCAAATCCAGGCATAGCTGCTGGGATACAGAGGTCAATACAGAAAGTCAAGCCCTTCCTTGAGCAGCGCTCCCAGCTTAGAGGGGCCTGGACCGGCCCGGCCGGAGCAGGGACATCCGTGTGGGTGGGATTGAAGTGCACTGCTGCCTGCAATGAGAGAACTGTGGGATTCTAAGCTGAAAGATTGCCTGTACTCTTAACTCTCTCCTTCCCTAACCAAGGAAGTAACTTACCAGGCAAGACCCATGGTCAATGGGCCCGCCGAGCCCGGATGCAGAGCTGTGGGGGGCAGGCTGAGAGTAGGGCACCGGAGAAGAGCCCTGGACACTGAGCCAGGTGGCGGAGGGAAGAGGTGCAGGTCTGCTTTGGAGAAGCTGGATCCATTAGCAGGCAGGGGCTGCAGCAAGCAGGAGGGAGCCACGGTCTCCCGAAAGAAAGAGACTGGCCAAAGAAATAGTCGTTAAAAGGAGGCAAAAGCTCCAGGGCTATGAAAGGACCCTCATGGCCAGCGTCAACGGGGCTAGGCAGGGGTCGTTTATACTGGGAGCCAGGACTGGGGAAGCCCGCAGGTCCGGAAGCCATGAGGAGGCTGTTTCTGGAGCCTGCAAGTCACTGAGCTGGAACTGCCTGGGCTGAACTTGGGTGTGTGTGACTGTCATTTACGTCCTGGGTTGGAGGTCACAGCCCCCGGGGAGCCTAGCTTGCCTGAGTTAGAAGCCAAAGCTAGGCATGGGGGCATTGCAGTCCCCAAGCCCAGGGAGGAGCAGAAAGTTCACAGCCACAGAATGCCAGGCCCTTTTTTGGTCTCAGGGACAATAGCCTGTGAGCCAGCCACTGCCCCTCCAGGTACTTGGGAAGAGTGGGTGCTCCGTGGCCCTTGTCAGAGGCTCTGCAGCTCCCCGCGAGCCCAGCATGTCACTGATACATAGTCTATGAAGGTGACAGCCTTGTCTCCACTCTACATACTGTTGCCCCAACACAGGGTTACCGAGCAGCAGAATGTGGGATGCACTCATTTCTGAGACCATGTCATTTGCTGGGCACTCCATGCCAGGCTCTGGGGACCACAGGCAGCAAAGCCCAGACCTGGCTGCTAGGGGCCTGCAGTTTCAGGGAAGACAGTGGATTTGAACCCAGATCAGTGTGTGCTGGTAAATGTTTAACAACCGGCTCTCAGCTCAGGGGACATAAAAGCCCTTGTTTGTAGCATTTGCTCATTTCCCTGGGATTGCGGCCTCCACCACAGCTGACTGCAAGCTACCAGTGTGATCTCACTAAGCACAAAGCGGGAAGATCAGCCTTCACAAGCTGGTATGAGCAGACTCCAGGACCCCCACAGACCAGCTAGCTGCTCCAGCTCAGGTGTGCCAGGAGGAGAAGTCTGAGCAGGGGGCGGGCCCCACTGCGATACCTAGGGATACAGCCCCGCCCACCAGGCTGGTGGTTGGCTGAAGCCGGCTTCCTGCCGGGTCTTATGGAGAGTCCTCCCTCTTCTTTCTCCATTCAGTGCATACTTATCCATTACCCACTATATGCCAGCCTCTCTATTAGGGGGGCGTCAGAGAACAAAACCAAGATCCCCACCCAAGCAGGGTAAGGGGGTCGAGCATGAGTGTTTGTGCAGGAGGAATAGTCCCCGGGCTTCTATTTCAAATAAGGTGGCTATTGAAAACACCATTGAAAAAGTGGTATTTGGGTAAAGACTTAGAAGAAGAGAGGGAAGTAGCCATATGGCTATTTGGGACGGTATTTTCAGACAGTACAAAGGCCCCAAGGCCTGTGCCTAGAATCCCAAGGAACAGCCAGAATCCCACAGGCCTTGGAGCGCTGTGATCCGGGAGAGGAAGACGGAGCCAGAGAGTGAAGGGGCCCAGGTCCCGTGCGGCTTTGATGTTTATTCTGTTCCTTTCTCCCCTCATTCATTCCTCCTCCCTGTCCATGTGGGCAAGATCTAGGGCAGCAGGTGTTCAACTTGAGGGCACAGGAAAACCACCTGAGGTCTTTGTCCAAATGCAAGTCCTGGGCCCTGGCCCAAGAGAGTCTGATTGGGTGGAGCTTGGGCATCTGCCTTTTTACCAGGAGACGGACCACTGACGAAGAGGGCTGAGATTGAAGTGGGAGCCAAGGATCCTAGCCCTCCCTGAAGATCCCCACATGCCGAGAGGTGGAAGCAGACAGTTGCTGTTGTCTCTTGAGCTCATATATTGACTATGCTGACACCTCATTTCCAACCCCCATGGCTGAACCACGGATCTTGGCCCCCGTTTACCTGTAGCCCACATACAGGGAGATCCCCCACCCCAGTGGTCCAGCCCAATTCACCAGGCTGGGGTTTTGCCTGGGAGGACTTGAGTCTAAAGCTGCAACCATTTAGAAAGTCTTCACCTGCCTGGCATTGTGCCCTGCCTGTTCCTCCCTTGGGGAACTCCCAAGACAGGATGGATTCCAGGACCCCCCCATCTGGCAGCAGACCCCCCGGATTTTGGGTACTCTGAGTCTTCTCTGGTCCACGGGCTTCACGGCTGAGCCCAGCCAACTGTGCCCACAGGTGCAAATACCCCTCATTGGGCCGGAGAACATCGTGGACGGAGACCAGACACTCATCCTGGGACTCATCTGGGTCATCATTCTGCGTTTCCAGATTTCCCACATCTCCCTGGACAGGGTATGTCCCAGCCCCCAACTGCCCAGCCCAGCCCTGGCCTCACCCCCAGCCCCTGGAGACAGAGAAGCTCCGCCTGACTGTTTAGGAACCCCACAACAGACCCTGGCATCCACACAATGAATACCCACTCTTCAACCACAGGCAAAGAATTGAGAATGTCAGAGAGATTGTAATATGCTGAAATGACAACTAGATTCACGGATTTCAGTCCTGATCTGGGACAAGCCATTCACAAGTGAGGGGTTAGGTGACTGCCCAGGGCCTGCCTTTCACCCCCATTGGTTGTTCCCTACTTGGCACGGAAACCCTCTAACGTCTATTATACCTCTAATGTACTTTTGGGAGAAATTAGACATGTGGAGGGAGTCCCAGCCCCAGAATTTTCCAAATCCCCAGTATCCTCAACACCAAAGAGAGGGTCCTCCATCCTCCTCTTGTTCTACCTCCTGTTTTCCCACAACTGAATGGGAAAGAGTAAAAACACAAAGTCCTTATGCTTATCAGTTTTCATAGTTTTATGGTTTCCAAAACCCCACCTAAAACTCAATTCCAAAACGTTATAAAAGCCAACCTAGAGAATGAGACCCTAATGAAAAGAAGCCCTAGATCTGGCTCAAATCCAGGAGGACCCTAGAAACCCATCATGTGACTGTAAGCCCCAAGACAGCAGGAGCTTTGCCTGGATATGTCCACAGAGTCTCGCACCTGTGCGATGAATGAAGGGATGGGTGAATTTCTAACTGGCCTCAAGCCCTTCCGTGTGGCTACACTCCCTTCCTCAATCCCCTAAGCCAGTTCCAGGTGCCCTGGCTGCGCTTTCCCTTGGGAGCAGCAGGTGAGTCATCCCCTGACTGGTCACCCTGCGCCCCGACCTGCTCAGGCTCTGCTCCCTGCCAAACAGACGTAACCAGAGTAGGCTGCCCCCACTCCCTCCCATGCTCACCCTCAGACTCTCTCCTGGGTCGTGTCTGCCAGCCAAGCCCAGCTGCTTAGGGCATGAGCTCCGGGCCTCGAGGTTTCCCGCCTGCACTGCTGCCCACCCAAGCTCCCGGGCCCAAAGGGCGAAGGAGGAGAGGCAGCCTGCTCTGCTCTGACGTTTTGAGTTTATAGCCAGGAATTGGCGGAGGGGTGGAGCAAATGAGAGGAAGCAGGAGTTGGAAAGGAAAGAGGAGAGGGGCCTGGCAGGGGGCGGGGGTGAGGGGGAGGGAGGGAGGGGAAGGAGAGTCCCACTGAGGGCAGGACAGAGACCGGAAATAGAGGCTGGAGGAGGGGAGTAGAAGGGGGGGAGAGAAGCACTGGCGGTGGGGGGGAGATAGCAGGGCAGGGGTGCCGGCAGGTGGAACCAAGAGTACCAGAATAAAGGAAACTCTCAGGAAGAGAAACATGGGGCCGGGGGGGGGGGGGCTCACCCGTCAGAGGCGGGCTGTCAGCCACTCCCTGGCAGGCAAGCCCTGCCCTGTTGGTGGAGGGTTGCTGGGCAGCCTCTTCATGGCCCCTCTGCCTCTCCTTGTGTCAGCCCTAGAATGGAAATAGTAATGGTGCCCTGCTCCTGGGGCGGCGAGAGGCTGGAGAGCCACGGCCCTGTGCCCGGCTGGCAGACAGCCCCCAGGGACCAGGAGCCCGTCTAATAAATCCCAGCCTCAATTCCTCATTCCTCAATGTCCCCACCATGAGAAGGGCTGGAGAAACGGGAGCTCCCGCTGTTGTGGTCACCAGCTGTGACTCAAAGCCGGCTGCTCAGATGCCACAGCTTTCAGGCGTCCCACTTCTTTGGAAGGACGATCTTTCTCCCTCGGCCCCAGTCCCTGCCCACCACAAATGAAATCAGTAAATCAGGTGCTCTGAAGAGAGAGTGATCTGCACCTGCCTCCAGGTCGGGGGAGAGGATCACAACCCAGCCCAGCCCACCTCTCCCACGGCGGGTGGGTCCTGCAGCCTTCCCAGCCATCCCTGCATGGTGACCCACTGTCCCGCCCTGCCAGGAGGAGTTTGGGGCCAGCGCAGCCCTGCTGTCTGCCAAGGAAGCTCTGCTGGTCTGGTGCCAACGGAAAACAGCCAGCTACCCCAATGTCAACATCACCGACTTCTCCCGCAGCTGGAGTGACGGGCTCGGCTTCGGTGCCCTCATCCATGCACACAGGTGCGCCAGATGGAGAGCAGACCCGGTGCCCTCCCAGCCCCTCAGCCTCCCTCCCGTAGGGCTCCACCACCCAGCCGAACACCGAGAATGGGCTTGGGTCCTGAACCCGCCCATCTCCCACATCCCTCTGGCCCCTGCACCCGGGGCTCGGAAGTAGAGCAGGCTGACAGCCAAGGCCCTGCCCCTTCCCTAGGAAATCCCGTGGAATTGGCCCCGTTTGCCTTGACTCCTGCTTTTCTCCACTTTGTGTCCCTGACTCTATTCTCAGTCCTCTTCCTGGCAAGTACCCGCCCCTTTGGAGTTTCTCCCCCTACCCAGAAGCCTGCCCCCCCCCAGGGAAATTAACCCACCCCTCTCTATCGGAGCCCTATTCCTTCATTAGCAGCTCAGATTACCAACAGGGGAAACTAATGTGTGGTAAGGTGTGAACGGCCAACAGGAGCTGGTTGGCTTTTTTTACCAAGTCCTTGAGGCCCAAGCAGTAAGCGGCTCTGGTGAAGAGCTACGCCTGTCCTCTGTCCAGGCCAGACCTGCTTGACTACTGCTCCCTGCGTCCCGAGCACCCACTGCACAACATTGACCTGGCTTTCCGCGTGGCTGAGCAGGAGCTGGGCATTGCTCAGCTGCTGGACCCCGAGGACGTGGCAGCCCCCCAGCCTGACGAGCGCTCCATCATGACCTATGTCTCCCTCTACTACCATCACTTCTCCCGCCTGCACCAGGAGCAGACGGTCCAGAGGAGACTTGCTAAGGTTGGTGACAAAGTGAAGGTGGCATTGAGGAGAGGCGGCAGGAGCATGGGCTCCGGAGTCAGACACAGCTGGGTTTGAAGCCCGCCTCTGCCACTTCCTAACTGTGAGGCCTTGACCGTGTCCCCTAACTTTTCTGTGCTTCCTCCATCAAACGGAGCCGGTAACACCTAGGGTAGCAGAAGGCTGCTGTGAGTTTTTGGGAATGTTGGGCACAGTGCCTAGCACGGGGCCTGGCACACAGGGAGAGCCAGGTGAGCTCCATCCCCTCCAGTCCCTCCCTCTCCCCCCTGCTCTTAGGCTGTTGAGCTCCTAATGGGATTGAAAGGCTCAGAAAGCCGGACTTTGTAAGGAGAGGCACAGAAGTGGCTCTGCTGGGCTCAGTCCCTGTTTTGGGGAGGCTCTCTTCCTCTCTGGGCACACTGGCAGATGCGGAGGCCTGGGAAGCTGTTTTTAGGGTAGATGTCTCAGCTGGGCATGGGGAAGATGATCGAGGCCAAGGGCTCTGAGCTGCTTTAGGGATGTGGGGGCCTCAGGGAAGGGAAAGACAGCTCAGAAAAAGAACAGTACCGCCTAGACGTGAGACCAAATGGAGTAAAATAAGATGGAGGAAGGCAGGATGGGTGCCCCACATTCCTGGGTCTAAGTGTGCAATGCAGGCCAACCCGCTTCTCTGGGGGCTGGGAGGACCCCCACTTTAGCGCAAGCTCAGCTGGGGGGAAGGAGATACCACCCACCCGGGGAACGCCGGCAGTCACTCAGCAGCCAAAAGGGGAGTGCCTCCATTCCAAGGCCTGCTCCGAGGTGCCGCCCCATACCCTTCCCTTGCCGCCTCCAGATCCTGCGTCAGCTGCAGGAGACCAAGGAGCTGCAGACCCAGTACGAGCAGCTGGTGGCCGACCTGCTGTGCTGGATCGCAGAGAAGCGGGCGCAGCTGGAGGCGCGGGATTTCCCAGACTCCCTGGCCGCCACGCGCCGGCTGCTGGTGGCCTTTGCCCGCTTCCGCACCCAGGAGAAGCCGCCGCGGCTGCAGCAGCGAGGGGCCACAGAGGCCCTGCTCTTCCGGCTGCAGACTGCGCTTCGGGCCCAGAACCGCAAGCCCTTTCTGCCTCACGAGGGCCTGGGCCCTGCAGAGCTGTCCCAGTGCTGGGCAGGCCTGGAGCGGGCAGAGGCCTCCCGGAGCCAGGCCCTGCTGCAGAGGATCCTACATCTGGAGCGGTTGGAAGCCCTGGTCCAGCGCTTCCAGCGCAAGGCAGCCCTCAGGGAGAGCTTTCTGACAGACACAGAGTGCATGCTGGACCAGGCTGCAGCCGCAGCCCCGCCAACCAGCCTGGCCACAGTGGAGGCGGCTGCCCAGAGGCTGGGCATGCTGGAGGCCAGCATCCTGCCCCAAGAGGGGCGCTTCCAGGTCCTGGCCGAGATCGCAGACATCCTCCAGCAGGAGCAGCACCATGGCTGGGCAGATGTGGCCTGCAGGTGAGCCCAGGACATGGAAACCATCCTCAAAACAGGCTAAGGTCCCCCTATCATACCCTTATCTTTCCGTGTGCCCATTCCTGGCCATAGAGGTGTGATCTATAGGTTCAGGGCTCCCTTGAAAAGATCTAACTCCCCCCGATGCCTGAACTTCCAGCATCCGTAATTGACCCCTTTTGGTAAAGCACCTCCCTTTCTAGATACCTCTTATTAATTCACACACTAAACAAACATTTATTGAGTGTCTACTATATCCCAAGCACTGTGCTAGGTTCTGGGGATTTAGTAGTGAAGAGGACAAACAACAATCCCTCCCCCCACAGAGCTTACATGTGATGAAGGAAAACAAAGTACATATAATAGTATGTGAGATCGTGATAAAAAATAGTAATAAAGTACAGGGGATTATGAGTGCCAAGATGGGGAGAGGGAGTTAGATTGGCTGGTCAGAGGAGGTTCACTTTTGAGCAAAGACCAGAAAGGAGTGAGGGGCCAGCCGTACAGATGTGGGGACAGACTCTCCCAGGGAGAGGGAGTGGCTAGTGCAGTGTGCCAAGGTGGGCACATGCCTGGCATGTGTGGAAAATAGCATGGAGGCCAATGTTGACCGAAGGAACCAGTAGTAGCTGAGGTCAGGGGAGGACGGGCAAAGGGTGGAGGCAGACAGCATGCTGGGACCTGTAGGGCACGGTGAAGACAAGAATGACTCAGAGGCAGATGGGGAATGAGTTGTGGGAGAGCTTGAGCAGAGGAGTGGCACAATCTAACTCCTCTTCTCCAATGATCACTCTGGAGGCCACGTCGGGGATAGACAGAAGGGGCAGAAGCAGAGAGACCATGTATAAGGCTATGCAATAATCTAGGCCAGAGAGAAGTAATGGAAGCGATGACAAATGGTGGGATTCTGGATATATTTTGAATCCAAGAGGATTTACAGACAGATCAGATGCAGGGTGTGAGAAAGTGAGTTCTCCAGATTTTAGTGCAGGCACCTAGAAGGTTGGAGTTGCTATCTATCATCTGAGATGGGGACTGGAAAGAAGGCGTGGGGGCCCTGTAGACCTGAACCTTACAGGCCCTCCTTCTGGCTTCTCTGTGTCTAAGAAGCAAGAACACGATGCTCCAAGCCCCCAGCCACCAGGCTCAGGCTCCTCCCTGACCACCAAGCCCCCCCACTGGCTGTAGACCCCAAGGTAGCTTCCCCACCGCAGCCCAGTAAAGACCACCCCAATTCTCATGTCCTCTAGGCAACTGGAGATCACTGGGCGCTGGGAGCGACTCCTTGAGCGTCTCCAAGGGCAGAAGAAGCAGACGGCAGAGCTGCAGGCTGTGTTGAGCTTGCTGCAGGAGGTGGAGAGTGCCTCCAACCAGCTCAAGGAGCTCCAGGTGGGCCCCGCACCAGCAGACAGCGCCCCCCCCAGGCCAACACAGCAGGTGCACTAGCATGGGGTACTCGTGGGGCCCCAGCGCTCTGGGGCTGCAGCAATCACTTGTCCACCCCTGGCCAGGTGCTGGCCAGCTCCACAGCCTGGGGGCAGCAGTTGGCAGAGACAGTGCAGCTGCTGCAGAAGCACGACCTGCTGGAGGCCCAGGTCTCAGCCCACGGAGCCCATGTGCACCATCTTGCCCTCCAGACCGCGGAGCTGGACTCCTCCCAGGGCACTAGTGTGGAGGTGCTGCAGGCCAAGGCCCAGGCACTGGCCCAGCTCCACTGGAGCCTGGTGTCCCTCGTCAGGGACCGGTAAGAGCTCACCCCCCCTTCTACCTTCTCCAGGATTTTCGTGTAACCCAGTGTACCTCCTGCCCAGGTTAAAAATACTGCTGACTTGGCAACTTCCTCCACATTGACCCTCACCCCCAAGTCTTCTGAGCCCCCTGTTGAGTCATCCACAACAAGAAAACTGTCTCAGGGGAAGTGTCTGAGCCTGGTGGGGAGGCAGCTCCCCAGTCCCTTCGGGGCCCCTTGCCTTCCCTCAGGCGGGCCTTGCTGGAGCAGAGCATGCAGCAGGCAGAGTTCCTGCACAACTGTGGGGAGGAGGAAGCCTGGCTGAGGGAGCGCAGGCAGCTGGTGCAGGAGGAGGCCGTGGGCCGGGACCTCAGCCAGATCAGAGCGGCCCTGCGGAAGCACAAGGTACCTGCCGCCCTCTGCCCTGCCAGTCCCCACCTTGCCGCCACCCTTTCTTCCCTTCCCTTCGCCCAGCTCCTGACTCTGCACCTCGCCAGGCCCTGGAAGCCGAGCTGCGCCACCACCAGGCTGTGTGCGCTAATCTTGTGCGGAGGGGATGCGACCTGGGGGCCCGCGGGCCCCCCACGCGGCCGGATCCCCGCGAGAGGGCCGAGGCGCTGCAGGGCGCCTGGCAGAGTCTCCGGGCCCGGGCGGCCAGGCGGGGAGCGCGGCTGCAGGCGGCTCTGCTTGTCCAGCAGGTAGTGGGGCGGCGGGCGGCGGGCGGCCGGGCAGGCGCGCGGGGTCGCCGGGTGCTCAGCCTGCCCTCCTCCCCGCAGTACCTAGCGGACGCGGCAGACGCGGCCTCGTGGCTGCGAGAGCAGCGGTCGGCGCTGGCGAGCGCTCCGTGCGGGCGGGACCAGGCGGCCGCCGAGGCCTTGCTGCTGCGCCACCGGCGGCTGGAGCGCACGCTGCACGCCTTCGGGGCCGAGCTGCGGCAGCTGGACGAGCAGGCGCGGGCGGCCGCAGCCCAGGTGTCCCTCACGGTGCGTGCGGCTCGGCAAGGCCCCAGAACTACGGGCCTCCAGCTCCAAGTGCACGCGTGGTCTCCGCGCTGCCCCTGTTTCCCGTGACCGCAGGGAAGGTGGAGATGGGAGGGCTTTTGTGGCCTCTGACCTGGGAATCCTGGCTTTCCGCTGGGCTGGGGGCACCCATCCTCAGCAACATCCCGCCTCCTGCCCAGCCCAGCGCGGGGCATCCTGTCTGCCCACGCCTATGGAGGTCATCCAGTATAGTTTGGCTTTGCTCGTTTCGCCCGCCAGTTTCCAGGCATTAACCAGGCATTCCTTCTGGATCGCCCTCTTCTCTTTTACCAGCCCAGCGACAACCGCTGGCCCCTCCCTGCCAAGCCTTCTGTGCTTAGGGGGAGCCCCCAGTGGACATGCTGCCCTCTGTCCTGTCACTACAGGTGGTGTCTGCCCTGAGCTCTCCAAAGGAAGGCCTGAGGCACGTGGGGACCTGGAGTGAGGTCTCCTGCCACTCCGCCCCCCCGGGCACCCAGAAGATGGCCCTCTCGGCTGAGCCTGACGCTAACTTTGACCCTAACACCATACTCCACACACAGGACTGCCTGAGCAAGGACTATGAGGGCCTGCGGGCCTTGGCAAAGGTAACGGTCTTGTTCAAGACAGTCAGGGAGCCCCTGCTCTGTACGGGACCCTGAGCTGTGAGCCCAGGGACCGAGCACTTATTGGACGTGCACGCCGGCCACAAGGAGTTTACGTCATGGCAGGGGGGATGAGAAGTCAGTAGATGGCTGTGGGTGTGCTGGGAGCCCAGGTCAGGCTGGGAGCTGGGGAGGGCATCTCTGAGGAAAGGACACTTTGGCTGAGACTGGAACAAGGAGAGGCTAAGAGCAGGTAAAGCTGGGCGGGGCAGGGGGGCAGGGGAGACGGGGAGACCATGCCCTAGGTAGGACCTATGCCAAGGCAGGAAGGAAGCCCTGGAGGAGTAAAGACCAGAGTGCCTGGAGCCCCGAATTGAAGCTGGGAGTGGTAGGCTGCAGGGGGAGTGCCTGGAGGGGAGGTGGACCAGGCTAGGCAGAGCCAGTTCCCACAGAAGTATGGCTGCACCTGAGAGCCAAGGGCTAGATCAAAAGAGCACATTCTGCCCGGAGGGGTGACGGGACCACTCTGAGGGCCCTATGGGGAAGCTGACCCTCACGCCAACCCCTGGGCCGGCCTCTCCTCAGCACCACAGGGCGCGGCTGGAGGAGGCAGTGGCCCTGTGTGGCTTCTATAGCTTCTGTGGGGAGCTGCAGTCCTGGCTGGAGCACCAGACAGCCCTGCTCCGAACGCTGCAGCCCCAGGCCCACAACTTGGAGGTCACACAGCTCACATTTGAGGTACCGCCCCCGTGGAGCCGAGGTGGGGGGTCTCAGCTGCTCGACCCCACTGCCCCTCCTCATTCCCTGCCCTTCTCCCTCCCTGCCTCTCCATTATTTGCGCCTGTGCCTGACCTGGCCATGTTCACTCTAGTCCTGTCTGGGAAGGAGGAGCAGGGGGTCTGGCCTTGAATTTTTCTTTCTTTTTATTGAAGTATAACTGATGTATGACGTGGTATCAGTTTCAGGTATGCAACATGAGGGTAGGATATTTGTGTGTATTGTGAAGCGATCACCACAGTAAGTCTAGTGAACATCAACATATAACATGTCATTAACATAACGACCCAATACATGTGTACATTTTACAGTAAGTCTACTTAACATCCATCACCACACATAGTTACGGAGTTTTTTTCTTGGGATGAGAACTTTCAAGATGTGCTCTCTTAGCAACTTTCAAATGTGCAACACAATATGATTAACTGTAGTTCCCATCCCTATATATTCCATCCCTATGACTTATTTATTTTATAGCTAGGAGTTGGCACTTTTTGACCCCCGTTACCCATTGCACCCACCCCCAATTCCTTACCTCTGACAGCTACCAATCTGTCCTCTGTATCTATCTTGTTTTGTTTTGTGTTTTTAAGTCCCCCACTGAAGAAAGATCATACAGTGTTTATCTGACTTATTTCACGCAGCGTAATGCCCTCACGGTCCATCCCATTGTCCCAAATGGCAAGATTTCATTCTTTTTTATAGTATGAAAGAAATATTTAATTCTCTTGGATGTGGTGGGTATATATACCACATTTTCTTTTTCCATCCATCAGTGGACATTTGGGTTGCTTCCATATCTTGGTTATTGTCCATAGTGCTGCTACAAACATGGGGGTGCAGATTATCTTTTCAAGTTAGTGTTTTCATTTTCTTTGGCTAAACACCTAGAAGTGGAATTGCTGGACCATGTGGTAGTTTTATTTCGCATTTTTTGAGGAACCTCTGTATTCTTTTCCATAGTTGCTGCACCATTTGACATTCCCACCAACGGTGCACAATGGTTTCCTTTTCTCCAAATTCTCGCCAACACTTTTTCCTAGTCTTTTTGAGAACAGCCATTCTAACAGGTGTGAGGTGATCTCTGGTTGTGGTTTTCATTTGCATCTTCCTGAAGATTAGTGGTGTTGAACATCTTTGAATGTATCTGTTGGCCATCTGTATGTCATCTTTGGAAAAATGTGTATTCAGGTCCTCTGCCTATTTTTCAATCAGATTATTTGCTTTTGGTGTTGAGCATTTTGAATTTATTATTGTTTCTGGTGTAAGGTAGGGGTCCAGGTTCATATTTTGCATGTGGCTGTCCAGTTTTCCCAGCACTATTGAAGAGACTATCCTTTCCCCATTTTATATCCTTGGCTCCTTTGTCATAAATTAATTGACCATATGTGCATGGTTTATTTCTGGGCTCTCTATTCTCTTCCACTGATCTATATGTCTGTTTTTGTGCCAAGACCACACTGTTTTGATTACTATAAGTAATTACTATAGTTTATTATAGTAAACTATATAGTTTGAAATCAGGGAGCGTGATGCCTCTGACTTTGTTCTTTCTCAAGACTGCCATTCCTCTTCCGAGTCTTTTGTGTTTCCATACAAATTTTAGGATTGTTCTATTTCTGTGAAAAATGCTATTGGAATTCTGATAGGGATTATATTGAATTTGTAGGTTGCTTTGAGTAGTTTGGACATTTTAATAGTATTCTCCCAATCCATGAGCATGCTATATCTTCCCATTTATTTGTGGGTTTTTTTTCCAGTTTCTTTCATCAGTGTCTTCTAGGTTTCAGTGTGTAGGTTTTTCATCTCTCCTGTTAAATTTATTCCTAGGTATTTTATTCTTTTTAATGCAATTGTAAATGAGATTTTTTTAAATTTCTCTTTCTGATAGTTCATTATTAGTGTACAGAAATGCAAAATATTCCTGTAGATTGATTTTGTGCCCTGCAACTTTGCTGAATTCATTTTTTTGTTGTAACAATTTGTTGGTGGGGTCTTTAGGGTTTCTGTATATAATACGCTGTCATCTGCAAATAGTGACAGTTTTACTTCTTTCTAATTTGGATACCTGGCTTTGAACTTTTAAAGGACCCTCCCAGCCCTTTAAGGACAGAGATTCCAGTCCTTCGAGAGGGATGCAACTCAAACACCTATGCAGCAGAGCATGTCTTGAGGTCATTTGTAGTCTTGAGGGCAGTATGGGAAGAGAAGAAGCTCCCTCAAGGCCTGGGTCTTCCTTTCCCCAGAACTTCCTCACTGCTCTGGCTGTGGGAAGGGGCTGCTGGGCTGAGGTCAGCAGCAATGCGGAGCAGCTGAAGCAGAGATATCCTGAAGATACCCCCAAAATCCAGCAACAGCAGGAGGAACTGAGCCGGAGGTAAGAATGAGGGAGTGCAGGACGGGCTGAATGCAGTTCCCAGGACTGCGTGCCCGCTTACCCACCTCCCCAGATGCCAGGAGGAAACACTGGGCGTGTCAGAGACAGGAGAGGGTATGGGGATGGCCAGCCTGGTAGCAGCTATTTTGTGAGGCCCTGGCCAAGGCCCTAGGATGGTTGGGGATGTCCCCGTGCTGGAGACATCCCTGCTTCCTCTGCTCAGGTGGGGGCAGCTGGAAGCCCTGAAGAAAGAGAAGGAAACGCAGCTGGTGCGCACCACAGGTGTGTGCGGTTTTCTGCACGAGTGTGGATCCACACAGGTCCAACTGCAAGACCTGATACTCCAGCTGGAAACCCTAGAGCTGGGGCAGTCAGAGGACAGCCACTGCGCCCTGCAGCTGGCCCAGCAGAAGATGCTAACGCTGGAGAGCAACGTCCAGTACCTGCAAAGGGCGGCCATGAAGTACAGCCTGGGTTTGGCACGGTGACGGGGCCCTGAGAGCAGGGTTGTGGAATGAGGATGGGCCACAAGTTGGAGGATGGGCAGGATGTGCTGTCTGAAGGGCAGGGGCGCAGGTGGGGGAAGAGCATGAGGAAATGTTCCAGGGAAAGGGCGAGCCACACAGGCCTGCTGCCCCTAGGGGAGGGGGAGAGGGGAGTGCAGAGTCGCCACCCCTTCCCCTGGGGGATCCAAGCCTGGACCCCAGGCCCTGGGGCAGGGCACTGACGAGGCGGTGGACCCCATCTCCCAGAGCAGAGGAGTTGGACCCCACAGAGAGCCAGTCCCTGCAAGAACGGGTGGAGCCGCTGCAAGGACTGCTGGAGCGAGGACAGCAGCATATGGCCCAACAGGCCAGGGCCCGGGCCGAAGAGCGGGCACGGCGGAGCTTCCTGCGGGAGAGTCAGCATCTGCTGCTGTGGGCGGAAGGTGTCTGGGCTCAGCTGCGCAGCGAGGAGAAGGTGGCGGGTGTGGCCTCGGATGTGGCCTCGGCCCAGCGGCTGCTGATGGAGCACAGAGACCTGCTGGAGGAGATCCAGCTGCAGCAGGAGAGGTCAGGATGGGAGGGCAGACAGGGTGGGCTTCGGGCTGGCTAAGGCCTGCGGAGACAGGCCACCAGAGAGGGAGAGGCAGGAAGCAGGGTGTCACCCGGGGTAGTAGCCCAGGCTAGTGTCCAGCAGGTTTTAAGGAGACGGATGTAACCAAGAACTGGTCAGGCATCCTGCATATTTCAGGGTGGGGGGTTGGGATGCAGGGCAGAATCTGAGCTTCCTGGAAGGTTCTGTCAAGTGCAGGCTTGGCCATATTCCATCCAGGTGAGCCTGATGGATTGCTTTTAGTCAGGGCAGCCTAGCCTCCCAAGGCATTCCAGATAATGCAGACCCCACAGGCTCCTGGAGTCAGATGGCTCCTCCTCAGTATGGCTGGACCTCTCGTCCTGCAGGGATGACGGCACAGGTCTGTCAGGCAGGCAGGGTCACCACGCACAGTCCACAGGCTGTGCCCACATAGGGGAGCCCGAAGGTAGCCAAGTGGGCACTCAATCCATCCCATCCTCTGCCTCCAGACTCTACTAATGGTTCAGGGCTGCCTCACCTCAGAGGAAGTGGAGCGTTTTCTAATCCACACAAAGGTGTCACCTGTCCCCAAGCTGTGTGCCCGTGCACTCAACTGGCTGAGAGTCGCCCTTTCTAATGCTCATGAGCATACGGTGGCATGGATGCGGTTTGAGGAACCCTTCTCCTTACCTGGGCATAGCCAGTAGAATGGTGGCCTGGAACAAGGGTGTGACATGGCAGGGAGCAGGGCCACTACTGAGACCTAAGGAGTATGCTAGGCCCGTTACGTTCTGCGCATCACTTGGTGCGCCAGGGTACAGCTGTTCCAGGGAACGAGTGAACCATTGGGGCTACCATCCTCAGACGCCCCCCTGCCAGTTCCCCCTCTATCACAGCTCTGAAATGAATGATCAAGGGAGAGGGGAGGAAGGAGGAGGAGGGGAGCCGACGGGGTTTGACCTTCTGCCTGTCATCCTGGACAGGCTGCAGCAGCTGGAGGCCCAGGGCCAGGCCATTTCAGCCTTGGACTCCCCAGACTCCCAAGAGGTGGCCCGTGCTCTGAGGCTCCTGAGCCAGCAAGGCCGGGGCCTGCAGGCCGCCTGGGAGCAGCGACAGCAACGGCTGCAGGAGGGACTGGAACTGCAGAAATTTGGCAGAGACGTAGATGGTTTTGCTGCCACCTGTGCCAGCCACACGGCCTTCCTGCAGCAGGACAAGCTTGGGGTAGGGGGCCAGGGATACGGGGCTACAGGGCTGCTTCCCCATCACTGGGGGAAGCTTTGAAGTTGGGGGGGGTGGGCCTGGTGGCCCTGGGGCCTGCGATGGTCAAGATGGTGCTGACCCCATCGTCCCAAGCATGACCCCAGGTCTCTGCACCCCCAGGATGATGTAGGGGAGGCCCAGGGCCTGCTACAGCAGCACCAGGAGTTTGGGTGGCTCCTGGGTGTCCTTGGCCGTCGAGCAGAGGCTCTGCGGGCACGTGGCGAGAAGCTGGCCCCGAGCCAACACCCTGCTGCGCACAAGTGAGTCAAGGCCCGCATGCGCAGCACCTGTTATGTTTCTTTCCCGGCCGGCAAGGCCTGCGTCCTGGAGGCTGGGAGGAGGTGTGGGGAGGAGGGCGGCAGCGGGGCACACCCTGGGCTGCGGTGGGCCTTGGGCGGAGTGGAGCCCCCCCGCCGAGCCCTCCCCCTCTCTATCTGGCCTCCAGGGTCCGAGAGCAGCTGCAGAGCATCCAGGTACAGTGGACCAGGGTCCAGGAGAGGAGTGAGCAGAGGAGGAGGCAGCTGCTGGCTTCCCTCCAGCTCCAGGTGAGGCCAGCCCAGGTGCACGAGGCCTCCACCAGAGGAGTGCCTAGGAGTCCACAGCTGCGCTAACACTTGTGCTCTATGCAGAAGAGCCTTTTATAGTTTGCAAAGCACTTTCCCACGTGTTCTGTCATTGACCCTCATGGCCCCTCTTGTGAGACCCACATTATGGCTCTGATGTTTCCAGATGAGGAGAACAGGCTGAGGCCACACTGTTCGAAGGCAGCACTGGACCCAAAGTCCTGATAAACCCCCTTGCCCTCCCTCGTCTGCTGACTCCCCTTGCCCATCATTTCTGGCCACAGTCGAGGCTCATGCATGCGCCAAGGGCACCCGCTGCAGACCTGGGCTCTGTGACATATTTGTTCAGTCCCCACAGGGGCTCAGAGCTGGGCCAGTCTACAGGCCTCCTGTAGCATAAGCCTGTTAGGAGAGAAATGGCCGTACATGATCTGAGGTGGGCTGAGTAGTGGGAACTGACCGAGTGCTCCTGTTCTCTGGGCACAGGGCACCAAGGGGCCCAGGCCATCCCTCCCCAGGCCTCCTCCTACCGTGAGGGGAAACCTTTCCCTCCCCGTCTCAGCTTCCCTGCCCCCACTGGCGAGCAGTAACCCAGGCCCCACCTGGCACAGTGGATCCTGCACTTTCCCATGGGCGTCCGTGAGACCCCTCTTTCTAGAGGTCCATGCATCAGCCCTCACCCCTGGTCATGAGACCCATTCTCTCCTGGTTCTTGGGCAGAAATGGAAGGAGGATGTGGCGGAGCTGGTGCTGTGGATAGAGGAGAAGGGGCTGAGGGCAGCGGATGAGCCTTCCTGGGAGCCCAGCAACATCCTGCAGCAACTCAAGCGGCACAAAGCAGCTGAGCGCGAGCTGCTGGCCACCCATGGGCACGTGGAGGGCCTGCAGCAGGTGGGGGTGCCAGACAGGGGTGCAGGGCCTTTTCCTCCCCAAATACCTAGCCCAGATGGATGGCCTCTTTTCATGGAACAAATTCACCGAAGGAAGACTCATTCTCAGTTACGGCGGAATTAGGATCCCCCAGATTCCTCCCCCACTCAGCTGGGTACCCCTCTGTCTTGGTGCCCAAACCAGCCCAGGACGCCTCCATCGTCTCTTCCTCCCACGCCACCCCCAGCTGTCAGGGCAGCTCCGGTGCTACCACCTGCACCTGAACAATGAGGGCTCACCCTGCTCGACTCGGGAGCATCAGAGGAAAGCCCGCCCACCTCTGCCCACAGATTTAGGGCTGCAGGAAATGCTTGAGCCCTTGCAGCCTGGAGAATGCAACCTGTAGCCAACTACCTGCACCTCCCCACCGCCGCCCCCCGCCCCCCCGCCTCTGCCACCTGGGTCCCGCCTGCTGTGGCCCCTCATGGTACCAGCAGCTCAACAAAATTCCCTCGGTCTTTGTGTCCACTGCAGGTGGGGAGACAGCTGTTGAGCGACAGGCCCCGTGCCCAGGAAGATGTGCAGGCCAGCCTCCAGGGCCTGAGTAGCAAGTGGGAAGAGTTGAAGCACAAGTTGGCCGAGCAGGGGGACCGGCTCCAGCAGGGTAGACAGCTCCTGGGGCTGCTGCAGGTCTGCCGAAGAGGGGCAGGGCACGGGAGGGAGACTGAGGCTGTGCTGGGCCAGGCTGGGGCATGGGGGAACAAGCAGGACGGCAAGGGGGTGGGGAGGAGTCTGGGCTATTCTGCTAGCTCTGGAGTAGCCCTGGGAAGTGCTGCAGTCTTTAGAGGCCTCTAGCTTATGGCAAGCGGAGCCTGGTTTTGCCAATTTGTCTCCTGTGTGCCCAGGGTGCAGTCAGCACAACCAGAATCCCTGTGGAGGAAGAAGCATGAGGGACGGGAGTGTTCATGAGGCTCAGGGTGGGGGTGGGAGGTGGACGACGGGGGGTCAGGGGTCCCGAGCAGGTCCTCGGGGAATCTGGTAAGCTGCAGGCGGTGTGGTCTTGGAGTCCGAGAACTTGCGAGCCTATGCTACAGAGCCTAACGCGAAGCCCTGCACTCTCCCCAGGCTGCCAAGGGGAAGATGGAGCAGCTGGAGGGAGCCCTGCAGAGCGCAGAAACGGGGCAGGACCTGGGCTCGAGCCGGGGGCTCCAGAAGCGGCACGGCCGACTGGGAAGCGAGAGCCAGGCCCTGGCTGGCGAGGTGGCTGTCCTTGTGTGCCAGGCCCGCCAGGGGCTCACTTCCCAGACCATCGTGGGAGAGACCCAGAAGTACCTACAGAGGTACCCACCAGCTTGCTCCATCTTCACCCCACTCTGTGCCACCCCCCACCATGTGAACACGAGGACGGTTTCACCCCGTGAGCCCAGCAGTGACATCTACAGGACTTGAGGTTGCCCAAATCTCCTTCCCTTACAAGGAGGGTCATTCCTGGGATAGGAAGGCCGGAGACCCCAACTGGGCATCCTCAGTACCCTGCAGTCTGAAGTCAAACAGGTCATCTGGGCGAAAGGTTGGGCCCTGGGCCCTCCCCAGCTGCCTCCCCACGGTCAGATGAGGCTTTCCCCCAACCTCTGCTTCGTTCCTCATGGGTCCCTGGCTGGGCTGTGGAAAGCCCTGAGGGGCCTTGCCCCCCACCCCATTCCCACTGTCCGCCATCTCTTCTGCCTCCACCCAGGTTCGAGTCCCTACAGGGACATCTGGCTGCCCGGCACCTACAGCTGCAGGCCTCAGTGGGGCTGTATCAGTTCTACCAACTAAGCAACCTGGAGCTCGCTTGGGTGGCTGAGCACATGCCCAGTGCCAGCTCCGCCCCATGCACCAATGGTGCCCAGAGCCTTCGCCGCAAGCACGAGGTAGTGGCCCACTTTTCCCTTCAGGATCCTTGACCTCCCATTCCTAGACCTTAGAATATCACCAATCAGGGTGTCCCGATTTCCAAGTCTCTGCCCCCAGTTATTCCCTGCCCAGGAGTTTTGCCCCGATGGAGCCCAGAGCCACATCCATGGCTCTGTTCCAGGCCCCCTGTGACTAAGGGAACCCCAGAGGTGACAGCCTCTCATCCTGTTCTGTGGCAGGAGCTCTGGGCGGAGGTGAAAGCCCACCAGGGACAGGTGCAGCAGGTTCTGGGTTCCGGACAAAGCCTCGCAGCCTCGGGGCACCCCCAAACCCCCCGCATCCTGGAGCAGTGCCAGAAGCTGGAGGGCCGCTGGGCAGAGCTGGAGCAGACGTGTGAGGCGCAGGCCCAGTGCCTGCAGCAGGCTGTCGCTCTCCAGCAGGTAGGAAGTGCAGAGCACCTGGGATCACGCTGTGAGTGGGGTCTACAGGAGCTGGGCCTCTCAGGGGGCGCATCAGTTGTGAGAACCCTGGCCCAGGAGCTGGCTAGTCCCCGATAGGCACAGAATCCTCTCTGCGTGGGCTGTGGGAGAGCCTAGCATGATGTCCCCGAGGGGTGGTGGAGGGTCCCATCTGACATCATCAGGGTGAGGTGGCCTCATTCCTGGCAGTGTGTGCTGGCTGCGTCGGAGCTGGAGGACTGGGTGAAGGAGAAGCAGCCCCTGGTGAGCAGTCAGGACTGTGGTGAAGACGAGGCAGCCACCATCAGGCTCATTGGGAAGCACCAGGTACCATGTCCCGGGCAGCTTCCACACGGTCTGCACTGGGGCGACGAGCAGCCACGGAGAGAGCTGTCACACTCGCAGAGGGCACATCCTCCTTCCTAGAGGCACAGAGCCCTGCTGTTTCTTCCTGAAGATATGGCCAGCTCCTTTCCTGCCAGCCCACCAAGTCCGGCAAGGCCCCCTGCCCATCCCCAGTGCTCCCCTTCTTCAGAGACGGCCCTTTGAAGAATTCCTGCCCCCTTCTTGGACCGGTTTACGCTGACCAGCTTACACCCCTGCAGCCTCGGGATTTCTCTGCTTTCTTCCTCTCTTGCCCCAGCACCTTCTCCCTTCTTGGGGTCACCTGTTCTAGCCCTCCCCACATCTTCCGCAGGGTTCTTCCTCCCACACTTTGAATGTCGTCCTTTGAGTTAACCCAGTGCCCTCCTGAAACCTACCTCCCCCAGCAAGCATCCCCCTGGTTAAAGGGAGGGAGGCCTGGAGCACCCTCCTCCTTCCTGGACTCGGACTCTCAGGACCCCACAGCCCTGGACCCCACAGCAGCCCTGGTTCCGGCTGGCACTGTAGCGTCCTCTTGCCTGGGCATGGGTTTCTCAGCCACTCCTACAGGGCGTGCCTAGAGCCATGCCCTTGTGGCGCTTCGGTGTCCCAGACATCCCGGGCAACTCCGTGAACCCCGGCTGCCGCTGTCTATTGTTGGGATCTAGTACAGTGCCTCCCATGCCCCCCCCTTCTTGGCCTCACTTACCCCCCCTTGCTAAACAATGAGCCCTCTGAGGGCACTCCTATGTCCTCACTTTTATGGAACAGTAGGAACTCCATCAGTATCGGGGAGGCAGGTGATGGGTACATGGCTGGAGAGTTGGGTTGGGGATGAATGGTGGGTAGGTGGGTAGATGGATGGGTCTGAGGATCCATGGCTGAATGGATGGGTGGGCAGATGAAGGAGCCACCCAGTCTGCGCCTGGCCTGCATGCACGTGTTCTGGCAGGCCCTGCAGCAGGAACTGGCTCTCTATTGGAGCTCCCTGGAGAAGCTTGACCAGAGGGCGCAAAAGCTCGCTGGCCCCGGGGCCACAGAGCCACTGGCCGCGGTCCGGGAGAGGCTCCGGGAGCAGCTGCAAGCGCTGCAGGAGTGGGCAGCCACACGGTAAGGGCCACTGCACCCGCTCTCGGTATAGGGGGGCCTAGCCACGGTTGACTGTTCCCATACTGTGACCCTGAGTTGGAAGGAAACCATGGCCCCAGGCCCACAGAGATGTGTCAGAGGAGTCCTTGCTGGGTGTCACCTCCTTCCATCAAGTCCACAACAAGGCCCGCTGGGCAGGAGCTCAGCCCCCAGCTCTCGTTTCTTCCCTGCATATGCACCCACTGCCCTGCACTGGCCCTCTTGGTTTTACTTCTCCCCGAATCCAGAGCCACAGGCTTGCGCAGAGACCACGAATAAGCTCCTTCGGGTCCCCCCCCCCCCGTCCGCTGGGCCAGCTGTCCCCAGGAGAGTGTGCAGGTGGGGACCACGGGCTGTCCCCCCAGGGGCCGGGAGCTGGAGGGGACTCTGAAGCTGCACGAGTTCATGGGGGAGGCCGAGGAGCTGCGGAGCTGGCTGGCTAGCCAGAAGCCGGTGGCCGGGCCAGCGGAGAGCCTCGGAGAAGACCATGCACACATCCTGGTGAGAAGGGCTGGGGCTGGGAGGACACCCTCCAGTGGAAGGCTGGGGGCAGCAGGCCGGCCTGCAGGGCTGTGGGAATTGGGAGCACTGGCGAGGACAGGCCTTCTGAGGAGGTGTGCAGGCACGTGGCTGTCCCACCTGTCATTGCCCAGATGGTCAGGAGGCGCCTGCAGCCTCACCAGCGAGGGGGCCGCTCCATCACCCACTCCCCTCTTCTCCTCAGCACCTCCGCACCAAGTTTGCAAGGTTTCAGCACCACGTGGAGCTGGGCGGCCGGCGGGTGGCAGCCTGCCTGACGCTGGTAGAGAACCTGCTGGAGCTCGGGCACAGGGCCGCCCCCGATGCCCGGCAGAGGCAGCAGGACCTGCAGTGAGTGCCCAGTGGGCTAGGCTGGGGGTGCAGGTTTGGGGGAGCAAGCGGTGCAGGCAGCTCCTGGGTGTTAAGAGAGGGTAGGCTGCTCTGAGGGCCACACTGGCTCTGCCTGCCCGCAAGGATTCTAGAGAGGGCACGGGTCCCAGGGAGGCTGAGCCAGGCCCTGGTGACCGTGGCCTAGAAGGGAGGCAGAGCTGGGTGTGCAGGTCAGGGAGTCCTGCCTGGACCCCCAGGGACAGTTTTCCAAACCCCTGGCTCCCGGGACTCAGGGAAGGAACTGCCTAGCTGCCACCCAGCTGGCGTGGGTCCCTCCCGGCCCCAAGCCCAGCCTGCAGGCTCTGAGGCCAGGCCTGACTTGTCCATGACCCCTGGCATGGAGCCTGGCCTGATGGAAGCCCTAGAAGCTCCGTGAGAGTTGGCTGAGTACCTGAGGAATGGAGAAAAGATGTGACTTCTGCCCTTGAACATTCATAATCTGATTGACATTTGAGACTGGAATACACAAGACGGAAGAAGGACCACAAAGCATAGAAATCAGGGGCTGAGCATGATAGCGGCAAAGGACTGAGTTCATGGTGAAGCTGGAAAGGCTCCAGGCAGACCCTGAGGCAGGAAAGGCAGTTCAGAAGGGGAGCTTTGGGCCAGTCCTGGATGCAGCCCAGAGAGGAGGAGGGCTGACAAGACTAGCCAAGGGTGGAATGAGATGCTGCACCAATGGCTCACCTCCCGTTGGTCTTCCACATTCCCCGGGGACAGGGCTGCCTGGTCGGAGCTGTGGGAGCTGACCCAGGCCCAAGGCCACCTGCTCCAAGACGCTGAGGTCACCCTCAGAGTACACAGAGATCTGTTGGAAGCCCTCATGCAGGTCCAGGTACGAGTCCGAGGGGAGGAAGGGGGTTCTTTCTAGGAGTGGATCCACCCCCGGTTTGGTGCCCCACCCTCTATTGCTGATGGCCTTGGCCATCCCCTCTCCTCAGGAGAAAGCCACAAGCCTCCCCAGTGAGGTGGCCGCAGACCTGCGTGGGCTGGAGGCCCAGCTGAGGAGACACGAGGAGCTGGAGCATGAGCTCGTGGGCACTGGGCGGCAGGTGAGCTGGTCTGGCTGCCTCTCCCACCCGGGCCCCTACAGGCCCCCTCAGGCCTGTCCATCTCTTCCTCTGGGTTTCCCACACTCCCGCAGGGCCTCTAACTGGGCCTACTGTGCATGGCGGGGCATGGCTCGAGGGGGGTTCTGTGGGATGGGCAGGCCCTTCAGCCTCTAGGAGGACATGACCCTTCCCTCCCTATACTCCACCTGCCCCCAGCTGCAGGAACTGCTAGAGGCTGCGAGCGCAGTACAGAAGCTGGGGCCGGGGCCCCAGGCCCGTGCCGTGCGGCAGAGGCAGCAGACTCTGGTGCAGGCCTGGGAGGCCCTGAAGCTACGCTCAGTGCAGCGCAGGACCCAGCTGGAGCGGGCATGCCTCCTGGCCCGTTTCCACAGAGCGGTGGGGGCTCCTTCCTCTTGGGCGTGTGCGTGTGCGTGTTACCATGTATGTGCGCCTACTCCTGAGGCCCTCCTGCTCTGGAGGGAAACCCAGTGTGGACATGAGTTAGAGGAATGTGGGTACGTCTGGATGTCTGTCTGGCCAGTCAGAGCACTGAGCACGTGGGCTTGAGTTGAGGGATCTTCCTCAGCTACTTTATAGTAGCATGAGCTTGAGCAAGGCATGGAGCCTTAGTTGTCACCCTCTGTTTGTGAGTACCTCCTTCATACACACTGTGCCATTGACCTTGCTTCACCTCTGTAATGAGGTGTTTGGACAAGGATCAGAGGCCCCTCCAGCTCGAACACTGTGAACACAAATCAGAAGACAGTTTGTAAGTATTAAAGTAGAAATCCCGAGGACAAGGTGAGCAGTGAGGTGTCATAGTGTCCGGGAAGCCTTACGTGAGGCAAACAAGGCCTTGGCCCTTGAAGAGCAGGTGAGCTGGGAAGACGTGGAAGGGAGGAGAAGAAGCTTCTAAGCAGGAGGGGCACCAAAAGCAAAAGGTGAGGAGTCTCGGTGAGGGTGACGAGGCCGGCAAATGTGGACATTTAGTGGACCTGGAAGGATTAGTTTGGATGACAGAGGAACCCGGTGACAAAAGGTCCCGTGAGCCCCAGCGGAGGCTCTGACCTGGGACAGCTACTCGGCTGTGCGAGCGGACGTGGGCAGGCTGTAGTTGGGCCTCAGAACCTGGCTCTCTGCCGCCCAGCCCAGCCCTCACCCAGCTCTCTCCCTCCGTCTCCTGGGGACCCAGGTGCAGGACTACACCTCCTGGGTGGCCGCCGTGGGGCAGGAGCTGCAGGGAGAGGAGAACTCCCAGGAGCCCAGCAGTGGCCTTCTAATGCTGCTCAGCGCCCACCGGCAGCTCCGGGCAGAGCTGGAGGCCCGGGAGGAGCTGCACCAGATGGCCTCCCAGCTGGGCCAGCAGGCGCTTCTGGCTGTAGGGACACCCAGCAAGGAGGTGGGCCCCTTTTTCCGGTACCCACCCCCAGCCTGCCCTGACCTCGTCTGAGCCCGATCACCCCACGCCCTGCCCCGCTGCGCCCCACTGGCCTCTCGTCAGGGGCTTCCCTCAGGATCGGCCTCCATCTTGTCCATGCGGCTCTTGCCAGTGCGGGCTCCCCACGTGCCCGTCCCCAGGTCCAGGACGGGCTGCGAGCCCTACAGGATGAGCGGGACCAGGTGTTCCAGGCCTGGGAGCAGAAGGAAGAGAAACTGCAGGCCATGCACCGGGAGCAGCTCTTCCTCAGAAAGTGTGGCCACCTGGACGAGATCCTCACAGCCCAGGAGGCAGGTCCCCCTCGCCCCACAATTCATGCTCCCCGTGCTCCCCCTTCTCCCTTTCTCCTCTCCCCCCTGCTCTCTTCCTAGCTTCCTGGAACTCCAGCTTTTTCCCCGATGGGAGGCTGGGCCCTGCCTCAGCGCATATGGCTGCAAATGGGGGTGGGGAGGCCCAGCTGTCTGGACAGTCCCTGATGGCCTCTTTGACTTCTCCGTGGGCTGATCCAGGTCTCCCTGAAAACCGGTGCCCTGGGGAACTCAGTGGAAGAGGTAGAGCAGTTGATCCGCAAACACGAGACTTTCCAGAAAGTTCTGACTGCCCAAGATGAGAAAGTAAGAGGCTCAGAGGGAACTGGGCATGCTCAGAAATTGGGGCTGGGGGGGGAGAGGGCGGAGTCTAGAAACTTTGGAGAGTTCTGAATAGGGGACCTAGAGTGCTTGGTGACCCACAGGTGATGTTGCTGTACGGGGACAGCCTATGGGAATGGGGTGCCTAGTTGGGGCTGACTGAGCAGAGTGAGATGTATGGCTCAAGACGAGAGCCACACTGCGGGGACACCAGAGCCATTTGGCTCCACAAGACGTGGTCATGGGGGGGCTGTGGGTTTGGTTCTGGCTTGCTGGGAGGACCAGCCAGCCCTGGGCCGTGGCAGGCTGAGGGAAGGGCTTCCCTATGGGCCAGCCTCCCAGCGTGGGAGAAGAGTAGACTGAGCCCCCGACCCTGCCCCGCAGGAGGCAGCTCTGTGTGAGCAGGCGAAGACACTTGGGGGCCCCCACGTGCAGGATCGGCTCCGCACAGTGCTAGTGCATCGGGCTCGAGTGAAGGACCTGGCAGAGAGCCGGGGACAAGCCTTGCACGCCTCTCTGCTGATGACTGGCTTCACCAGGGCCGTGACCCAGGTCAGAGGGCCACCCCCAGCCCTGTGCCTTCCGCTTGGGCCACATTTTATAGTGCACAGATGACCTTCACCTTCACAGGCTCCTTCAGGTCTCACCACATCCCTGTAATGAGGACACTGAAGTCTGGAAGGTTCAGTGGCTTTCCCAGAGGCCTTGCTGGGACCCAGAACATTTGATTCAAAGACACTGTGAGCAGAGACCTTGTTGCTTCCTGAGCCTGTGAAGGCTAGGCCAGAGAGAGGCAGGGAGGCAGAGGGAGGGAGCCAAGTATCTAGGCCTGGGAGCAGGCCAGCCTCCCCTCCAGAGGCCCTGCCCAGCCCTTCCCTGTGGCTGGGGGCCGGCTGGGCTAGAAGCACTGGATTGCATCTACCCGGCACTGCCTCGTCCAGCCCTGGGGGCCAGCAGTCCACCCCCCGGGCACAGCTGAGAGTGAGCGTGTGGGACATCTCTGTGGACTGGAGCAGCCCCGGCATCACGGGATTCATGTCCCCACCCCCACCAGGCCCAGGACTGGATCGAGGAGCGAATCCAGCAGCTGAAAGAGCCAGTCCCTCCTGGGGACCTGAAAGATAAGTTGAGGCTCTTGGGAAAACACCAGGCCTTCGAGGCTGAGGTCCAGGCCCACGAGACGTTCATAACCTCTGTCACCAAGGTAACAGCCAGGCCCTCGGCCCCAGTCCTATCCCAAAGTGTGGGCTCTCGGGTGGCCAAGGGGAAAGGTCTCAGGTAGGGAGCTGGACGACAGGCAAGATCTCCGGGTGTCCTATCTCCCAGGAGGGCGAGGCTCTCCTGGCTCAGAGCCACCCTCGGGCAGGAGAGGTCTCCCGGAGGCTGCAGGTGCTGCAGGAACACTGGCGGAAGCTGAGGCAGGCGGTGGCTCTCCAGGGCCAGGACCTGGAGGACAGATGGAACTTCCTGGAGTTTCTGCGGAGAGCTGACCTTGCAGATGCCTGGATCCAGGAAAGGGTGAGAGGCAGCCGGGCCGGGGCAGAGCTGGGGTGGGGCTGCTGGGCTGAGAGATGGGGGCAAGGACGGGCCTGCAGCTCCCCAGCTCCCTGACAGGCGGGAGCCCCAGCAGGAAGTTCCCAAAGCCTCCCCCTGCCCCAACACCGCTCTGGGGCCTGGATGCCCTGGTGCTGGGGCTCAGAGCACTGCCCCCAGACCCTCACCCCTCGGCCTCCACAGGAGGCGATGGTGAACCTGGGCGACCTGGGCCAGGACCTTGAGCACTGTCTGCAGCTCCGCAGGCAGCTCCGCAAGCTCCCAGGAGTCTGGGCCCGGGTAAGGGGGCCCTGTGGGGGAGAGGTCAGTCACCATGTCCCCACGGGGGACATATCGCTCAGAGTAGTGACCCAGCATGGGTCAGGGGAGGGCTCCAGCCACAGCTCCGTGCTTACTACCTGCATGTGCTCAGGCAGGCCCCCTCATCTCACCAAGCCGTACTTTCTCCGTCTTTAAAATGGGGTTAACGCCTGCCTCTTAGGTAAGGGAGCAGGGACGTGAGGTGGTGGCTACATGAGTTTATACCTGTGATAAAACTGCAGAGAACCGTACCCCCCACACACAGATGCGCGCATGCAGAAACACACACTCCGAATAAAGCCCGTAGTCGAGTTCGTAGTTATAATGTCCGTTTCCTGGTTTCCACTTTGTACCCCGGTTATATAAGATTTTACCCTCAGGGAGACCTGGGGGGAGGGTACGTGGGGCTTCTCCATGCTACTTTTGCAATTTCCTGTGGATCTGTAACGATTTCAAAATTTTAAAAAAGAATGGATGGAGTGGTAAACTGCAACTACCCATAACCCCTGTTCAGCCTCTTGGCCCCTCCTCACCACACCCCCACACGCACCCCCAAAATCTCTTTCTCTTATGTGCTCCAGATGAAAGAAATAGGACAAATGTAGTTATAGTCAGGTGTTAGAGACCAAACACGCTCCCGTCCTCCCTCCGGTGCCAGTACCTACAGTTTGTAAAAAGGCCGCAGTGCTCGCCCCCAGCTCCCCTTTGCTAGTGGAATTCACAGCCTCGGGCCCAGGCGCTGCGGTAGAAGGAGAGCCACAGAGGCTCAAGGAGCGGGGCTGGGATCCCGGCTCGGCCACACATCAGCCATGGTGGCCTCTGACTCTGCTCTGGCGTCTGTACGAGGAGTGAAACCCCCTTCCCTGCCCAGCTTGTACGAGACCCTTCCTCAGAAGCACTTTGGGAATTTTAAGCTGCTCCACCGGTACAAGCTGCTCTTACTGGGGGCAGGACCCCTGTACTCCCTCCCACTGCCGGGGACCCCCGCCCCATGGGCCCGTAAGCCCCTCTCACTAAGCAGCCCCAGCCCAGGACTCGTAGGGGTGCAGACACTCCGACACCAGGAGACCCAAGCTCACCATTTGCTTTGCTTTTATCAATTCTTAATCTCAGTTCTTACTCTTGCTTTCTTACCAATTGCTTTCCTGAGCAATTTAACTTTAAAGCTTCTGTTAATCATCGTTCTGACCGAGGAGCGTGTTTCCTAGGCTCAGACACGCTGGGGCATCTAGCTCGCTGCGCCCAGCCCAGCCGGGGGTGCGGCTGCCTCCGATCCCCCAACACGCTGCCCCTCACCCTCTCTCGGGGCCCGGGCAGACCCCCCACGTGCTGTGACTGCTCGGGGTGGGTGTTGCCGCTGCCCTCACCCTTCCCCCCGCTCCCCTCCCCCTCTCAGGACACAGTGAATGACACCCACGTCAGGAGCGTCAATGACTTGTCCCTGAAGCTCGAGAACCTGGACCCTGAGCAAGTCAGAACCATCCACCAGCGGCGACAGCAGCTGAATAGCAGGCCAGTCCCGGGGTGGGAGGCAGTGGGGCCAGGAGAGGGGGCTGGAGGGCCACCTCCGACTCAGCCTTACACCCTCCTTGCCAGATGGGAGAGTTTCCATGGCAACCTACTCTGGTACCAGCTGCAGCTGGAAGGGGCCCTGGAGATACATACGTTGTCCCGAGAGCTGGATGACCTGGCTGCGTGGATAGGGGAGAAGGTAAGCAGCGAAAGACCTGGCAGCCAGGGGGTGCACTCACCCAGAGTTTCCTGGGTGTCCCGTCCTGGCTCCCCTCTCCTCTTCAGCTGGGGTACTGACGGTCGATGCTGCTAGGGGTCCTTCAGGGCTAGGGAGAGGGGTCTGCCAGGGGCTCTCGGGATATCAACTCTGGGCCCCAGAAGACCCATTACAGGCTTGGAGGCTGGCCCACCTGGCTTCTAGAAACACTGTGGATCAAGAGGCCAGAGCACAGCTCCCCCTCACACTCTTCCCTCTGATGTCCCTGAGCAAGCCCAGAGCCCGCAGGAGCATTGCCCCGGAGCGCACCGGCAACCACAGAGAAACGTGGGCTACACGCTGGCGGGGCGGGCGGGGGGGGGTTGTGAAGAAGTTGTCTGCCGCCGCCAAGAAGTCCCGTGTGACACAGATGGTGCCCTGTTCTGGGTGTGCCTCAGTCTCCTTACTCCTCTGTGCTCCCTGCCCGAGCCGGCCGGGCCTGGCTGGCTGTCCATGCTCGGTTTCCCCCCAAGGGAAGGAGAGACCGAGGAGACACGGTGTGTGGAGGCACCACCCAGAGATGACTGGGTCAGAAGGAAATCCATCCCCTGGTCTCTCCTGGGAATCGTCCTCCTTCACTGAAGGAGGGGGCCTGTGGTCAGCGGAGGGCACGGGGAAGGGGATCAGGTGGGGTACTTGCTTCTCACACAGAAACCCCGTGGCCGGTGACCCCTCTGCAGTGAGGGGGAAGCGGGGGCAAAGGCGAAGCCAGTAACGTTGCCTTCCTTCCCAGGCCGCCCTGGTCCAGGCCCCGGACTATGGGAAGGATCTGGAGAGCGTGCAGAGGCTGATCTGGAAACACAAGGAGCTGGGGCAAGAAATGGGCCTCCTCCAGGCCCGGGTGGAGGTGTGTCCTCCTCTGTGGGATGCGGCTCGGGCACACAGGGCAGGAGGGCTTCGAGACCCCGGGAGCTGGCAGACTGCGTTCAGCAGTACACCCACCCGGAGGCTGGGGGCCTCCTGCAGCCGGGGCTCCCCTCACTGCAGCCCCTGAGCCTGGCTTTTCCCACAGTCCCTAGAGCGGGCGGTGGGCCGCGTCTGCCAGAGAAGCCCCGGGACAGCCCACAGCCTCAGCCGCAAGCAGCGGGAGGTGACGGACAGTTGGTGGCAGCTCTGGAGGGGGGCCCAGAAGCGGTACGAACCCCTGGGCCTGTTTCCTCACAGACTTAGTCTCCGTAGCTTCTCTGTCTCTCCCCTTCCCCTTAACCCTGGTCTCCCCTGAGAGCCTTTGTCTGTCCTTCAAATCACCATTGGTACTGTCCCCCTATGAATTCCCAGCCCATGGGCCCTTCTCTGGCTAAGGGGACTCGGGGATGGAGAGCAGTGGTGTGGGTGTGAGGGAAAGAGGGGCTCAGAGGCCCCGCAGCTAGCTGATGAACCTGTGGGCAGGGGGGAGTCACTGGATGCCTTACACGAAGCTCAGAAACTGCAGGCCATGCTGCAGCACTTGGTGGGCTGGGCCCGGGGGCTGCGGGCAGAGATGGAGGGCCGGAGCGCCCCGCGCAGCCCTGCTGAGGCCCGGCGCAGGCTGGAGGAGCACCAGGAGCTCAAGGTGAGGGCCGGGACCCTGCGACCTCACCTCTTCTCTGCCTTGTCCCGACCGGTGATCCCATCTTTCTCTTGGGTCCTTTCTCCCTCACCTGCCTCTGCCTTTCTCCTCTTGCATCCCACCCACTCCGCTGTGTTCCTGCCTCGTGCCTCCTCTCTCGCACGGAGGGAGCCCCAGCCTCGGGGATCTGAGGCCAGTCTTGCGACAGGCCGAGCTGGACTCCCGGACAGACAGCATCGGCCTGGCCCGAAGCACTGGGCAGCGACTGCTTGCAGCCGGCCGCCCATCTACCCCTGACCTCCGCCGGGCCCTGGCTGATTTAGACCAGGAGCTGAGCAGCCTGGAAGGGGCCTGGCAGAAGCACCAGCTCCAGCTGCAGCAGGCCTTGGAGCTCCAGGTAGGCAGCCTCCATCCTGCCCCCACCTAACCCCACCGTCCCCTGGTCAAAACCAAGCCCAGAGAGGCCGCTGTTCCATGGGCTTGCCCACCGCCCAGCGCTCAGCTCGCCCGCAGTAAGCCTGCTGACCGTGTGCTCGTTCTTTTGAGCCAGGGTCTTGGTCCCTGATTTCTCCTCGGGGCACCAACAGGGCCACTCCACCTCCAGCAACAGGACCCTCTGCTCACTTCCTCTTGCCTTTTCCTTTCTTGACAGCTGGTTCTGCGTTCTATGGAGCAGATGGAAAGTTGGCTCTGCAGCCAGGAGGCCTGCCCCGCTAGCGAGGGTCCGGAGGTAGGTGCCAACACAGGTTTTACCAAAGCAGCGACCAGTGCTGCCTGAGCTCCCCAGGCCAAGGGGGTGCCCCCCAGCCTCTACCACATCAGTCATCGAAGTCTTCACCCGTCCATGTTTGCAGTGTTTGTGCACCTGGGGCTCGGCCCCACAGGGAATGTCCTGGGAGCTTAGAGGGTGAGTGCAGGCCCTTTGGCCCACTCTTGCCTCCTTCCCACAACTTCTCACCTCTGCCCTCCTCACTTCCCTCCACTGAGGTTTGTTCTTCCGGCCACTGTCTCAACCCCTGTGGCAGTCAAGCCTGACTCAGGGGAGACCTCAGAAAACTCGGGGGCTAGCTTGTCCTGTGCTGACAGTCTTACCGGAGTGCAGAGCGGGGGTTGTTTCTGTTAGGTGTAAAAGCTCCACCTGCCCTGAAGAATCTGACACTGACCCTTATCCCCAGTACCTTCCCTGGTTAAGGATCACTGCCCTAAAGCCAGATGCAGCCTTGAGAAATCAGGGGGATGTGTTCGGGTAGAGCACTCGCCATGTGGGTGAGCAGTGGGTGGCATGGCCGTCGGTGAGCAGGCAGCTTGGGATGGGAGGGGCAGCCCTGTGGACAGTAGCGGCTTCCCTGCTCCCGCCAGGACTCTTTGGCCACTGTGGAGACCCTCCTGCAGAAGCACAAGGTGCTGGAGCGGGGCCTGGAGGCTCAGGCTGAAAAGATCAGGGCGCTGGAGGCCGCGGCCCGCAGCCTGCACCGGAGTGGGCACCCTGAGGCCCAGGGTGCCCTGGGTCGGTGCCAGGCCATGCTCCTGAGGTATGTCTGGCTCTGGGCCATGGGTAGGAGGGCCAAGATCGCCAGCCTTTTCCAGGGGCTGAGGTGAATGCCAAGGCCCCAGCACTCCTGCCCAGCCTAGCATGTGGCCACCCGGGGAGATAAAAGGGAGTTTTACCAAGTAGCGTGTCCCAGGAAACTGAAGGAGGGGCGACCTCATGGAAGCACAGTGGCTAAGTGGCCTGGGCCTGCAGGGCCACGGTGTCCTGAGTTTCTGTGCTGCCCCCTCATGGTGGGACTAAGGGGAAATGCCTCACAGAGTCTTGGGTCTACAGGGCGGCGTGGGGGGGGGGTAACAATGCCTGCCTCTTAGGGTAGTGGGGAGGGTTGAGAAGGTACCCTTGATGTCTCAGCATGGTGCCCGCCACTCGGGCAGGTTGGCACATTTCTCATGCTCGTTTAAATGAACCTGGCACAGCTTATGAGACGCCAGGCTCTGCTTTTTGTCCTCATAAAAGCCCATCTGGTTCAGCCACCTCATCCAGCTTCTCAGACTTTTAGAGCAAGGCAGATTTGGCCAAAAGCCAGATCTCAGACTGACGGGTGTCTGTCTCTTTCCCAGAGAGCCCACTGGCATCCTCAGTGCTTGTCAGTCCGCGTGCAGACACTCCAGCAGGGGTAGGGCTGGGCCGTTCACTCCTACTCCTTGCATGTGGGACGCCACCTGGCTACCGGGAGGTCTTTGATTGACGACAAATGTTGCTTTGCTGGCCTCTGTCAGCACCCTCCTCTCGTGACCCCCAATCACCTTAGGTGGTTTCTGGCAGGCCTGACTGCCCGCCGGGACAATGCCACCCTGACCCCTCCCTTTGGGCTTCTGGCATCCTCTGCAGGGGGAGGGGTACACATTTCATCAAGCCTCGCTCCATCTCCACCCCCCCACACACACCCTCTGGTAGCCCCAGCAGCGGGAGACAAGAGTTTCCACTCAACACCGGTGTGGAGACTCTACGGATGCTGGCAGCGTTAGACATTTGTCCCTATTTATTTTTTAGATCACATGCCTAATTATTTTTGCTGTGCATATGGCAATGTATTTGATACATTGGTACAGAGAGAGGTACGCACATATATAAATCAGTAGACACACACACACAAATACATACACATTTGGGTGGGGACCCGTTCACAGTTCTTCCTAATAGCAGTGCGTGATCCAAACAGCGGTTTAGACACTGTACTAGTTGGCTAGGGCGGCCGCGACAAAATCCCACAGACGGGCGGCTTCAATGCCAGAGACGTGTTTCCTCTCAGCGCTGGAGGCCCGAAGTCCTCCATCCAGACGTTGGCTGGGGCGGGGGGGGGGGGGGGGGTCTGTCCTGAGGCCCCTCTCCTTGGCTTGCAGACAGCCATCCTCCTCTCGCTTCGCAGGGTTGTCCCTGTGTGTGTGACACCTGTGTTGTCCCTGTGTGTGTGACGTCGCGGGTTAGGGGGCATCCTGAGGAGCTCATTTTAACTTAATTCTTTAGAACTCTGTCTTCAAATACAGTCACACTGTGAAGTACTGGGGATGAGAACTTAGTGAAGAGGGGGAGTAGAAGGTCTCTCCATTTCAAAGGGAACCCCAGACTCCAGGCGTCCTGGTCCAGGAGAAGGGCCGTGGCCGTGGCCGTGGGGAGGGCATGCGCACACAGCCCTGGAGCAGCTCCAGGTCCGGGGAGGGGACCTGAGGGCCCATGACACCCTCCTTCTGGCAGGAAAGAGGCACTGGTAGAGCGAGCCGGCACCCGTCGCCGCCAGCTGGAGGAGCTCCGGCAGCTGCAGACTTTCCTGCAGGATTCCTCTGAGGTTCCCCTTGGGTTGGGGGGTGGGTAGTGGTTGTGGTGGGGAAGGAGCTGCTCCGGGGAGAGGCCCCCCTTCCTTGGAGCAGCCCAGAGGTTTGGGGGAAGGGGAGAGCCCGAGGCAGCCGAACCTGGTCCTCCGCGTATGTGCAGGTGGCCACATGGCTGAGGGAGAAGAAGTCGGTGGCCCTGGAAGAGGGCTGGAGGGACCCCGCTGTGCTGCAGGCCCACTTGTGGAAGCAGCAGAGTCTCCAGGCTGAGCTAGACGCAAGCGTCCACCACCAGCAAAGGCTGCAGATGGTGAGGCCCTGAGGGTCGTGGGAAGGTCCTGCAGGCCAGAGAGCATGGAGAGACCCCGCAGAGCCCTGGCGAGGGCTCTGATCCAGAGTCACAGATGGCCGACATTCATCGAGTGCTTTCTGTAGACAGGCATCATGCTAAGCACCCAAGGGTAGCGAGAAACAGTAGCTTTCCTGGGGCACCCTCTCCAAAAAATAGTGCCTTTTCAAGAATCCTAAAGATCATGTTTTGACGGGATAGTTTTTAAAGCCAGCTACGAAAGACATTAGGGGACGGAGAAGGCCACAGTGAGCAGTCCTGTGGGTAAACAAGCCAAAGTGCAGCGTCTTTTAAATTTACCCTCTCCCACCTACAAAGGGTGGGTCCTGGCCCCAGGCTGGCTCCATCTAGTATAAAGCGTCCTGCTAAAAATGTTTGATGTTTTATCTCCGTTGTTCTCTCCATTCTATGGATAAGGAAAATGAGCTCTGAGAGGTTCAAGAATTTGCCCAGGGACACACAGCGAGCACGCAGGCTGGTGGGTGGGGCCAGCACAGGCCCCCTGGCACCAGCAGTCCTAAGTCCCTGCGGTGTGCCCCGTGTGGCCGTAGGAGGGGCAGAGGCTGCTGCAGGAGGGCCACCCGGCCTCAGAGAGCATCCGGGAGCAGCTGCGGGAGCTGGGAGAGCTCTGGGACGAGATGCGGGCCAAGAGCCAGAGGGAGGCAGCCGCTCTGCAAGAGGCTTGCAAGGTGGGCTCTGTGCGCCACGGAGCAGCTGGAGGGGGCGCTAGGCCTCTCCCCCCTGTGCCCACCTCCCATTCTGCCCCAGGCCCTGCATCTCCGGCGGAGTGTGGAGGAACTAGAGAGCTGGCTGGAGCCTGTGGAGGTTGAGCTGAGTGCCCCCATCGGGGACCCGGACCAGCCTGGGCTGGATGAGCTCCTGCGGGCACAGGGGGAGCTGGAGGCCGCCGTGGATGGGCGGGCCAGGCGGGCACGGTGGCTGCTGGACCAGGCCCGGGTCCTTACAGGGGAAGGCCGCTGCCTCAACCAAGACGTGGAAGACCAGGCCCAGCAGCTGCTTCGGAGGTAGAGCTGCCCCTGTGCCTGCAGGAGCTGCCCCCTTCCTCCCTGCCCTCCAGCTTGTCTCCTCTGGGCTGTCCCCTACCCCCACGGTGGGGGGCACTGAGTGGGTGAGCGCTGGGTCACTGTCTGGCCCCAATACTGACGGCCATGGTCCCTGCCTGCCCTGTCTCCACCCTCCACCGTTGCAGGTTTGAGAGCCTGCAGGAGCCCCTGCAGGGGCGCAGAGCCGCCCTGGAGGCCCGGAGCCTGCTCTTGCAGTTCTTCAGGGATGTTGATGAAGAGATGGCGTGGGTGCAGGAGAAGCTGCCTCTGGCTACGGCCCAGGACTGCGGGCAGAGCCTGAGCACCGTGCGACACCTGCAGGAGAAACACCAGGTGTGGTCTCCCCCGCCCATACCCCGAACCTCAGATAGAGCACAAGCCTCAGTCAGCCAGTGATGCTGGGAGCTCTGCGCCTCTGGGGGGGGGGGGGCTTGGGGGGCACCCTGGGTTCTTCGTTGGCCATAAGGACAGAGAACTCCTCCGGGAGCAAATCCGTGGGATCCTGTAAGGCTTTCTGCATGACGCTGGGGTCCCCTGAGGAAAGTCTTCCTCCGACTCTGCAGAACCTGGAGAGCGAGCTGAGTAGCCACGAGGCTCTGACCCAGGCCGTGGTGGCTGCGGGACGCAAGCTGGTGCAGGCCGGGCACTTTGCAGCCGGCGCCGTGGCCGCCCGGGTGCAGCAGCTGGAGAGCGCCGTGGGCTGCCTGCGGGCAGAGGCCACGCAGAGGCGGCTGCAGCTACAGCAGGCTCAGGAGGCCCAGCAGTTCCTGACGGAGGTGAGGGGCTGAGGCGGAAGGGCGGGGGCTGGGCGCGAGGAAACCCAGAGTGTAAGCGGGGCCTAGGCTCTCTGTGCGTCTCCTGTTCCCTCCAGTAAGTGGCCTTCTGCCCCCCCCCCCACCCCGCCCCTGACCTCTTCCTTCTGCGTGGCACCCAGAGCACGGGCCCTTCCCTGGGTTCGCTGTTCTTTTGTTGTGTTGTTTCTTCTAAACCGGTGGTTCTCCGTCATTGCTTTCCATCAGAATGACCTGGAACCTTTAAGAAATGCGGATACTCCCATTCCATTCCAGACCAGATCAGACTCTTTAGGGGTGAGGGCCAGGCACAGGGAGCGTCAAAACTCTCGGCACTTCCAGTGTGCAGCCAGGGTGCAAACCACGGCTCCAAACCTCAAGGCCGTGCACTCCCAAGCTGGGAGCCCTAGAGGCCATCATCCAGGGAGGACTCTCCTCTCTGCCACCCCAGCTCCTGGAGGCAGAGTCCTGGCTGGAAGAACGGGGCTGTGCCCTGGACATCAAGGATGTGGGCCAGAGTGCCGAGGCCACGCGCGCCTTTCTGCGGGGGCTGGAGGCCACCAGGAGAGACCTAGAGGCATTCAGCACGCGAATTGAGAGGCTGCAGCAGATGGCGGCCCTCCTGGAGAGCAGGCAGAACCCAGAAAGGTGGGTGGGAGCCAGGCGCACGCAGGGAGGCGCAGGGAGGGCTCTCCCTTCCGAGGCAAGTGAGGCCGCTCCGGCCTAGAGAAGAAGGGCTTCAGCGGGGTTGTCTTCCTTGCCACGGCACCAGGGCGCTGGACCGGATGCGGGCGCTGAGGGCGGCCCATTTAGGGCTGCTGCAGAGGGTGGAAGGCCGGGGGCAAGGCCTGCGGGAACAGCTGCAGTGCCACCAGTTGGAACGGGAGGCCCTGCTCCTCGAAACCTGGCTGGCCAGCAGGGTGGCCACGGCTGAGTCCCAGGACCTCGGGCGGGACCTGGAGGCCGTCAAGGTGAGTCTCTCCCGAGCAAGCCGGGGGCAGAGTGGATGGAGGCTGAGCCAGGGCAAGGGAGGTGTGTGTGCCTTTGGGCGAGAGGGAGGCAAGGGCGTGAGCTGAAGGGAAGAAGGTGGGCTCTGGGCGGATCCCCATGGTGCTAGAGCCAGAGCCGGGGGACGTCCGCTCCCGCCCCGTCCAGTACGGATGAGGGGACTACCAGATGCTGCCAGGCCCTTCGCGAGCTGCAAGAGCTGCTGGACACCACCTCCGGTGTGACCCTCCCTGGTCCTCTGTCCCCACAGGTGCTAGAAGAGAAGTTTGATGCTTTCAGAGAGGAAGTTCAGAGCCTGGGGCAGGCCAAGGTGCAGGCCCTGAGGGAGCTGGCGGCCTCCCTGGAACGGACGACCCCTAGGTACTCTCCCAGGATTCAGGCGCAGAGGAGTCGCATCGAGGCCGCTTGGGAGAGGCTGGACGGGGCAATAAAAGCCCGCAGCCAGGTAAGTGCGCCCAGGCCGGGCCAGGGGCAGCCACGGGGCAGGAGCATCCATGCCTTCTGCCTGGGTCAGGGATGAGCAGGCCCACCAGGGTGAGCGTGCGAGTGTGTGAGTATAAGCATGGGTGGGTATTCGTGTGCAGACAGAGGCGGCTGCCGCTGATTCCCAGCACTAAGCAGATGGGGACTCTCGAAATCTTGCACCTCTACCCCACCCCAGCCCTCTCCACCAGTTTGCTTTCCGGCCGGCAGTTCACACCTCCAGGGAGAAACAGAAGGCAGGTCTGGCCAGCTTCCAAGCCCCTCGAAACCCCCCTAAACACAGGCCTCAGGTTTGAAGATACACACCGGGTTGATCTCTCCTCAACCACACGTACTTAACTGGCTCCTTCACTGCGCCCCCTCCCTCTTCGAACCTCCATGCCCTGCGTGGATGGGCTCCATGTTGCTCCCCGACCTGTGTTCTCAGCCGTAGCTGCTGGTTCCTATAAAAGCGGGCTGCTCCCCAAGCCCCCGACAGCCTGGGCAGCCTCCTGAGCAGGCCCTGCCCTCCTAGCCAGTCCTCCCAGAAACCAAACTCCTCCCTCACGTGGACCCATCCCCCGCTGCCTCAGAGCCTCCATTTCTGCCTTTCTCGTGATTTGTACACCAAAGGCCCTCTTGTCACAGAAGGCCCCCCCGAGGCCTTACCCCCTCACCAGTAACATCATACACTCATTGAGCACCTGCCACATCTAGGACATTCTCTGTACCTGGTGGTCATGAATGAGTCACTGAGCCCTGTGGTCCTTGTTATTTAAAAGGAGGTGGTCCACGAGGCCATGTCTCCAGGGAGAAAGGACCCTAAGAATGAGCTCAACCCAGAGCAGGCCCTCCCCCCTCTCCCAGAGCCTGGCCACAGCCCGGGAGGTCCGTGGCTTTGAGCAGGCAGCGGCTGAGCTCCAGGGCTGGATGCAAGAGAAGTCCACCCTGATGGTGAGAGACATCTGTGACCACAGCTCGTCCTCAGTGCAGACCTTGCAGCAACAGCACAGGTGCCTGGAGGTGAGAGTGCCGCCCAGTCTCCCTGCAGGTGGGGGGTAGGGCCCCCAGAGGGGAGAAAGGAAGGCCCTCCTAGCCCGGCAGTGCTTGCCCAGGTTGCGGAACAGAGTGGGAGTTGGCTTGGGAAATTCTGGGAAACAGGAGCCACCCAGAGAGGACCAGGTGCTCCCAGAATGAGGGGCGTGCATCAGGTTGTGGGGCGTGAGGCCTGATCGGGTATTCTGGTGGCAGTGGGACCTGGCAGCTGTGGAGAAGGAGGTGGCCCGGGTGCGGATGGAGGCCTGCCGACTGGGCCAGCTACACCCCGTGGCCCGGGAGGGCCTGTTCCAGCAGCTGGCCAGGCTGGAGGAGGCCTGGGCCACCCTGGATGAGAAGGCCCGGGAGCGGGGCCAGCAGCTGGAGCACGCAGCCCGGGGCCAGGCCTTCCTTGGCCACTGTCGGGAACTGCTGTAGGTGGCATCCCGCCCTGGTATTGGCTCAGCTCTGCCCCCGCGGGGTGGGGAGGGGGGGTCACCGCAGCTCTTCGGGGAGCCGGACTCCCCTTCCCCCGGCACACCTCATGCCCTGCTTCCTGAGGCCGCTCTCCCAGCCCTGACAGCAGCTTTGTCTCCCTACCCCCAGAGCTTGGGCTCAGGAGAAGCAAGCTCTGGTTTCTTCCGGGGAGCTGGCCGGGGACGTGGTGGGGGCCGAGCGGCTTCTGGTGCAGCACGCGGAGCTGGGGCAAGAAATCAGGGAGCACTGCCTTCGAGTGCAGGACGTGCGGCGGGAAGGGCAGCAGTTGGTAGACAGCGACCACTTCCTGTCCCCGGAGGTATGAGCACAAAGGGGATGGAGCCCAGCTTCCCAAGGCCTTGGAGCCCCTAGCAGAAAGCGAACCCCTCAGGAGAAGGCCCGCAAGGAGCAGAGAGAGAAGCAGAGAAGGGAGGGGGAGGGTCTGGGCCCTGCCCGGACCCCTCCGCTGGGCACTCCGGCCCCGCCCTGCCGCGGTGCTTCTGCTCGAGCGTCTGACGCATAGCACCCCTTCCCACCAGGTGACAGGGTGTCTGCAGGAGCTAGAAGGGCGGCTGCAGGCACTCACAGAGGCCTGCGCCCTACGCCAAGAGCGCTGCGAGGAGAACTGGGGCCTGCAGAAGCTGCGGCAGGAGCTGGACCGGGCCGAGGCCTGGCTGACCTCCCGGGAGGCTCTACTGCTCGACCCCAGCTGTGGGGTGAGCTCAGGCCCCCCAACCATGAGCCAGCCGCACTGAAGGGCAGCCGCGGCCAAGGGTGGGACCTGCGGTCCCTTGGCTCCCTGACCCGTTAAACCAGGTTGTGGACCGGCGGTGGGGGCGGTGGCTCTCGGCACCCCTTGGAGCTGGGCCTCACCCCGGCTGGCTTCTCCCCAGCACACTGCGTCCGATGTGGAGTTGCTGCTCTGCAGACACCAGGACTTCGAGAAGTTGCTGACAGCCCAGGAAGAGAAGTTTGCCCAACTGCAGAGGAAGGCAGAGGAGAGAGGAGGCTGGGCGAGGGTACGCCCGCAACAAGGGGCCTGAGGGCTGGGGTGGGAGCAGTCTGAGCAGGGAGCCACCCCAGGGCACTGAGCCCACCTCCGACCCCTTGGGAAAACCCTGTTTTTTGCCTGGCCTGCTGCAGGGCCCCGTCACCAACCCCCCTTCAGGTAGGCTGGAGCCCCACTGTGAACTAGGATGACGGGCAAGTCTCCTAAGCAAGCTGAAGCGGGAAGAGATGAAGACCCATGAGAAGACAGGGCTGCTCTCAAGGGGCATTCGGGGAGGAGAGGCTGGGGCATGGAGCCCTGACCTGGCTCACCTTACTCCCCTCTCCAAGGCGGAACAGAAGCTGCCGCAGCAGGGGCCAGGGCTGAGCCCCGGGGGTGCTGGCCATGCACTCACCGTCCTCCAGCAGAGACCCTTCGGAAGCCGGGGGCCCGGAGTACAGCTGGCTGAGACAAGGGACCTGCAGCCAGGTGTCCCCGTCGGGCCGCACATACCCCCTGCCACCATTGTCTCTCTGGAGCCTGCAGCCCGGCAGCAGGAGCCCAGTGGGGCCGGGGCCGTGGGGGTGAGGCCCAGACCCTGGACCCAGCACTGAGCCCCAGGGGGGTGGGCACTGGGCAGAGGAGCCGAGAGTCCTCAGGAATGAAGTGGTCAGAGAGGGGTGGATTCCTAGCCCACCTTTCAGAGGGGGCCTGTCCTCTGTTGCTGGATGTTTCCTGGGTCCCATCTTGCCCCTTCAGGATGCAAAGGGTGCCCCCACCGCGGAGGGGTTTTTGGAGCCCCGGCAGCCGCTCCCGCCTGCAGGGAGGCAGGTAGGCAGGAGGAGGCTCCTTCTCCAGGCTGCTCTCCCCCACAGAACCAGAGGGCTCAGAGGGGCCATCAGGGCCTGGCATCCTGACGTGATGGTGGATAATCCCCTCCCCCCCATTCTTAAGACCATTTCATTCCTTTTTATTATTTAAGTAATCTCTACACCCAGCGTGGGGCTCAAACTCAAGCCCGAGATCGGGGGAGGGGGGTGTCTCACACCCTACTGACTGAGCCAGCCCGGCGCCCCAGGACAGTTTCATTCTTAAGCTGCCTCACAGCTGCTGCCCCCAGCCCGGTGTGGCGGGGGCGCCTCTTCCTCCTCTTGCTGGTTTCCTGGCACATCCTTCCCTGGCTCCCTCTTCCCCATGGACTTGGCCTGGGAGTCTCTGGAGACAAGCAATCGTGAGGATGGGCTGCAGCCTCCCCTCCACGCCCAGCCGGTGCAGCCTCCCTGCCTTCTCTCTACAGCCCTGCTCGAGCCCCTGGGATGGCTGCCACGGGAGCCTGGGGAGCAGCTCCCTGAGCCTCTTCTGGGCCAAGAGGACGGCAGCGGAGGTACTGGGTAGTGGAATGCGGGGGGGGGGGGAGGCAGAGGACAGGCCCACGGGGAAGAACGGACATGGCACTGGTGACCCCTCTCATCTCTTCTCAGGATATGGCCCCAGTGGCCACCCTTGACCTCGGAGGAGCCCAGCGTGAGAGGCCGGCGAACCAGCACGGCAGGAAACATGCTTTCTCCTTAAGGTGAGGGCCAGGTGGGGAGGGAGACTGTGGCCCCAGAACACGACCTGACCCAGCCAGCATGGCCTCCCAAGAGCAGCAGGGGGCTGGAGGCGCAGGGGCCCACGGGTGTGGGAAGCCAAGAGTTTTGACCGCCGGCTCTGTGGATGGCAGGCTGAGCAGCGGGGTGGAGACCCTGTGTGCGGCACCTTCGGAAGGGCAAGCTGAGAGCTGGCATCGAGCCCTGAGCAGCGCGGCCGGTAAGCACCAGGGGCACCTGGGGAGGGACTTGGGGCACTGAGTCCCTGGCCCCCAACTGCTGTTTCACGCATCCTCCGAAGTGCCACATCTAGTACCTCTCTAGCCTGAGAGGTTAAGTGGGACTTAGTGTCTTCTCAGAAAGTTTAGGGCCCAGTACGGGTAACCCACTTGCCAAAGATCACAGCGCTAATTAGTACCAGAGGGAGGGCCGGGCTTGCCCCCCTGGTTGCCTCCTGGCCCTGTTCTGCCCCCTTTGGAATCTGCCTCTCTGACTTCCCTGCACGCTCCTAAGGCTTTGTTCTGTGACCCTGGGACCTTCTCTAACCTTCCACTCCTCAAAAAGCTCTGAATGCACTGCCCTTGGGGTATCTTGTGGACAGTGGCCAAACCCAGTTGTATCAGGAAGGATGCCTGGAGAGCACCTCTGCCCCAGAAGTCTCTTGTCAATGTGATCAGATAGGCTCCACCCAGAGACAGTGATATTCAGGTCATGTCCTCAGGCTGCTGCGAGACCTGGGTGGGAGTCTCTTCCTGTTCCTCCCAGTCTCTCGGGGTTCCTGGCTCACTTCCTCACATGGTCTCTGGTCCCCTGGGAGCTGAGTCTGTCCTTCCAGAATCCCAAGGGGATCTTGAGTGTCTTCAGGATCTTCTCCAGACTGAGCCTCTCTTAGCCCGTCTGCACTCAGCCTTCTAGGAGGCAGGGGTGCGCTGGGGACCTGCCCGAGTGCTGGGCCCGCACTGCGCACCACATGGGCAAGGCTCGGTGCGTAACACAGCCCTCCTGTAGCAGGCACATCGGTCTGTTTGGGCTGCTTTTAACAAAACTATCACAGACTGGGTGGGTAACATTTATTTCTTACAGTTCTAGAGACTGGGAAGTCCATCAAGGCGCCACCAGATTGGGGGTCTGGTAAGAGTCGTCTTCTGGGTCGTGAGTGGTGCCCTCTCACTGTGTCCTCACTTGGTGGGAGGGGCCGGGTGGTTCTCTGGGGTTTTTGTAAGGGCTCCACCCTCATCACCTAATCACCTCCCCGTGCCATCCCCTTGGTATTAGGATTTCCACAGAGGGATTTGGGGGTAGACACGAACACGCAGGGAGGCTGCTGGCTGCAGAGGCCTACCACCGGGGCCAGCGCTGACCACTTTTCTCCCTTTGCTCTGCAGCCCACAGTCTAAGCCTGGAGCTCCCAGCCAGACCTGTGGGCTTCCCAGCTGTGCCCACTGTTGAGAGAGTGCCCGGCACCGCCGGCCCGCTTAGGTAGGGCCTGTGGCTATGTGGGCAGGTGGGAGTCCTGACCCCGTAACTGGCACAGCTGCTGCCCTCTTAAGCGCGAGATCTGGAGACTCAGCCCTAAGCTGCTAGGATATGGACTAACCCCCGTATTTGAGACCCTCAGCAATAGAAAATCCTAGCACCCACCCCATCGGGTACAAAGCTCTGCTCGGAGTCCAGGCCCTGAGGTTCCCTCTCCCCACAGATTCCTTGGCTGTCCCCTGACTTCCTCACTGAGGGAGACGCCCCTGAGTGCCGATGGCCAGCCACGACCCTTGGAGTTCCTACAGGCTGCAGGCCCTGCCCCGGCACCTGCCCACGGCTCCCACTGCCTTTCCTGCCCCAGCCAGGCCCAAGGTAAGGACTGCCCGGGCGCCCACACATCACTCACTCCTCGGCCTCCTCTTCCAGTCCAAGACAGAAGACAGGGTGCCGGCCTGCCCTCGGCTGCCTCTCCTGCTCTCCCCAGCTCCGACGGGAAAAGGGAGGCTTACTGTCCTAGAGCAGGCCAGAAGTCAGGCTGTCACCCCCCACACACACCGACTCTCGCAGACAGGCCCAAGGAGCACCTGGGAGGGCGGCCATGGCTGTGGTCTCTGGCAGCTATGCAAGCCTGCTCCCGCAGGGCCCATGGGCTCCATTTGAGAATTCAGATAACATGGTGCTGAATGACTAGGCCTCGTCCTGGATGGTGGCTTCTAAGGCTCCCAGGGCCTCCATTTTTTCCGCTGTGACACTAGCCCCATGCCCAGGGCAGGGCCCAAGCGTCAGGGGGCCAGAGCAGAGGGGGAGTTCTGAGCGACAGAGAACCCATTCTCTCCCACCCACCCTCCACACACTATGGTCCGTCCTGCAGCTGCCGGTCAGCTCTCAGTATCTATAGCCTCCAGCAAGTTAGGAGGAGGGGGAATGTTCTGAGGCCAGGCCCTAAGGTCACTCTGCCTCCCTGTTCCCCCAACAGGTCTGAGCCCTGAAGCAAACCCTGAGGTGGCACCAAACCTCAGGGCTACAAACAAGGACAACCTCTAGGGGACCAGCACAGGACTCTGCTACCAGGACCAGCATCTGGAACGGACGGTTCCTTGTTAAGAGGCAGCCCTAGCCAAGGTCACAGCTTTGCTGTGGTAGGCCATGCGTGCTTGTCCCCATGGCTCCTCCGATCGCACGTGTGGCCACCCCTACTGCAGGACAGGAAGCAGCCGTCTGATCAGGGGGGTGGGGGGGGAACAGGGGTGCTGGCTGCCACTGCCTGTGACTCCATGCCCTGCCCAGGGCTCCAGCAGGGTAGACGGGACCTGCTCGCTAGCTCCGTGGGGGCCCTGGGGAGGGCTTCTTCAAACCAGTCCTTGCTCTGTGTAACCAGGAGCCCGGCATGACCTTTCTTGGCAGCAAGGACTGATCATCTGGTCCCACCTCACATTTATATGAGCCTCTGTGATACATAAACCGCTCTATTTCACTCAGTAGCAACAGGGAGGGGCACATGGCTTTGAGCACTTATGCAAATAGGGTCAATACTGCTCTGGGCTCAAGCCCTTGTCCCCCAGGCCTACCTCGGGTGACCACAGAGCCCCCCGAATGTTCTCCTTGCTTGAAGAGGGGGCTGCCTCCGGCCCGAGGAGCCAAGGCCCAGCCCTTTTAAGATGCTCAAGGCCCCTGCATGTGGATGTGGCGAGGTTGCTGGGGGCTGCAGGGCCCTCCAGGCCCCAGGGGCTCCGGAACACGTGGGGAGGAAACTTGTCCTGTTCGCCTTGGGGGGGGGGTGGCAGGCAGCGGGGGAGCCTCACGCCCTCACTGGGGCTGGTGCCGCCCGCGCCTCCGCTGCAGGGCACCCCGCAGCGCCTCCAGCAGCCGCTCCCGGTTGTTGCAGATGTTGTAATGGGTCAGGCAGAGCAGCTTGTCTGCGTCCTCCGGGCTGTAGGTCAGCTTAGAGTAGTGGTAGGGGGAGTCGGAGGAAGACAGGTTCACCTCCCCGGCCGCCTTCTCCTCAGGGGGGCGCGGGATGCCTAGGGGAGAGTGTGGAGCTGAGGCTGGGGGTCCCCTGTGGAGAGGCATGAAGGCTGGAGGGGGGAGGGCAAGGGCACTCACCAGGGGCCTCGTATTCGCGGAAGGAGCCATCCACCAGAGGGAAGTGCAGCACAGCCGGGGCGTCGGGGCAGGCTGGGTCCAGAAACAAGTGGCACTCGCGAGGCTGGCGCTGCTCCTCAGGGCTGGGTGAGATGGGCGGGAAAGGGATGCCCTGCGCCTGGCACAGCCGGCCCAGGAGCTGCAGCTGCTGCGTGGCAGGAAGAGGGGTGTCAATGGGTGGGGCTCCCCCGTGCGTGTCTCCACCACTGGGCCAGCTGAAGCTGGAGGGCAGCTGAGACACGGGGGACTCAGTGCCCAGATGCCAAATCCGACCCAGGCAGACCCACAGGGCCAGGCCAGACATGGGAAAGTGCTCGAACCCTGACAGCCTCCCTGCTGCAGCTCCCCTGAGCTCTGCTGTGAGGGGCTGCTAACAACTCCCAGGTTCTGCAGGAAACTTCACTGGACCAACAGAAAAACTCACAGCACAGGGTTCCAGAGGTCCAGGACCAAATGGGGGTGGCAGGGACCCCAAATATAAAATACACTTAAAAACATCTCCCTGTCACTGTAACTCCCCCTGGTGGTAAATTCACAGGATCCACAGTTCCTAGGATGCCATTCCCAGGGTGTCCCTGTCTCAGCCTCTAAGGGAAGCTGGACCAGATACTGGACTCTAAGGTAGATGTCCCTGGAGGCAAGAGCCAGGATGTCAGGCCAGGCCTGGGGTCACCACTGCCTCTCTAGCCTGCCCCCCAGCCCACCTGAAAGGCTCCTCCGAGGTTGTAATCCAGCGACAGGATGAGGTCCACATCCCGTGTGGGCCGCAGGAGGGGCGGGAAGCTGGTGTTGATAAGGTAGCCAACATCCAGCAGACAAAGGTGGGGCTCTGCAGGTGTCAGCTGGTTGGGGAGCCCATCCAGTTTGGTGGCTGCAAAGGTCAGGGGGATGGGGTGAAAAAGCAGCTATCATTGGTGCCGAGGCCTCCAGACCCCTCTAGCCTAATGCTAGCTCCTTGCTACTGGTAGAAGCTGACCCTGCCCTCTGCTCCCTGACCTCTCCTGCCAAAGTAGCCCTGCCACTTCCCAAGACCCCACAGATGGGCCCTGATCCACAATAGAAGGAGAGGAAAAAGGGTTGCCGGTCTAGGCAGCCCAGTGAACTAAGCTCAAAGGAGCTTGGGGCCTGGGGGTTGCAGGGTGTGGGTGTCTGGACCAGGGACCCAAGGCTCAGGTGGCCATGGGCAGACCTTGGAGAACTGGGACCAGGGAGAGAAGAGATACCTTTCCAGGTGGAAAAGTAAGGATGATGGAAATAGTCCTTGTGGAAATGGAGGCCTCGCAGGAAATTGTGGGTGGCCTGGGCCAGTGGGCGCCGTGTCAGAAGGTCAGTGAAAAACTCAGCAATCCTGCCGGCCCCTGTGGGAGTCTCTTCTATCTTCAGAAGAGGGACCTGCTCCTTGTCTGCATAGTCAAGAAAGGGAAAGTGGAGCGTTTCAGGAAAGGGGGACCCCTGAACTTTTACCCTAGCTTCTGTGGACACCCAAAGGCCGCCGCACCATCCCCCAGGTTCTCTAGTGGCTGTCTCTCCAGCTCCTTCCAAGGAGCCCAGGAACCTACCCAGGGTGACCCGATCCTGTGCCCAGCGGTCCCAGAACTGGCTGGGCTCTGAGGCCCAGTATAAGCTGTCCTGGAGGTTGGCTGCGTACAGGTTGCTCCAGATACCTGAGAGGGGTCACGGGGGGAAGAGGAAACCAGAGGGGAGAGTCTCCCACCCCATCACAACCCGACCCCTCCCCACAGCCCATCCTAGACCAGGAAACGGCCCCGTGACCGACCAGAGAGGTGGAGGCCTGCCATCTACCCCAGGCCCATTCTCCCCACCACCCCTGCTTCCATAACCTTCCAGCCGCCCCCCTCACCTTCAAGGAAGCAGATTCGGGACTCAGGAAGCCGCTTGGTCAGGCGCCCCATGAAGAACTCAGAGCCAAAGAGCTCAGAGGGGATGAAGGCGCCGTACTTGGGAAAGCCAACCTCGTAAGGGGAGAACTCACACCACTCTGTGAGGAAACGACACAGCTTCACTGTGGGATTCAGACCCCCAGCACCCTCAACCACCACAGGCTTCACATCAGGGCAGCCTGGCGACCTGGAGGCTTGGGCTGGGTGCAGGCACCCTGAGCGTGGACCTAACCCCCTCCCAAAGCCTGAGTGACTCTGGGAGGATGACAGTCTCTGGAAAGCATGGGACCTGGCCCCGAACGGGGGGGTGTAACACCCATCTCCTACACACAGGCCCAGCTCCCCCTCACCCTGCCAGCACGAGAACGCAGCTCTCAGCCCCAGGGCTACTCACCTCCAAATTCAAAGGTGGTCAGGTTCTTTTCCTTGGTGTTGAGGGCACAGTAGATGGGCAGAGGGTTCTGGCCATGACTCAGGGCCTCCCGCTGGGCTGAGAGTGTGTGGTCATGGGGCTGACGGACAGAGAGGATTTGAACCTAAAGCTGTGGCTTTCTGGTGCCTGAGGCCTTTGCCACCCCTACTGCCCAGAGCTGCTCCCGACCTTCAGACCATGCCCTGGCCCCACCCCTCCCCGCACCTCATCGTGCAGCAGTGCCTCGCTGATGAGGGCCCACAGGTCGGTGAAGCAGGTCGGGTGGCCCTGGCGGGCACGCTCAGCCAACTCCTGCCAGTACCGCTGGAGATGGCTGGGGGCCAGCACGCCCAATTTGCTCTTGGTCACCTGTGTCTTCAGTGTCGCGGTGGGCCCTGCCAGGTCCTTCTGAGACCATTCTGGGTCCTCATAGAGGTTGGCCAAAGCCCTGGGAAAAGCCAAAGCCCAGGGGGTCACTGTATACTGTGGGCTCTCTATCCTAGGACAACAGTCTAGCAGGCACCTCCCAATGGTCCCATTGAGCGGGTTTCCCTCTGGCACGTCCTTTCTCCCAGCTCTCCCAACTGGGTCAGAGGCACCCAGGGGGTCTACAAGAGCCTCACCACTGCCACCCCCAGACTCCTGCGCTCAACCTGCGGCCAGCTCACCAGGTGGAGCCCGAGGCCCCTGTGATGTAGGAGATGCAATCCAAGAGACCCAGCTCCCTCAGTCCAGCCAGCTGCCCATAGAGGGAAACCATCGCCCGGATCCCACCACCGGTGGCCATAACAGCTACCACGGGGATCTGGAAGACAGAAGAGCCAGGCCAGTCAACACCTGATCAGGGCTCTTAGAACCAGTGCTGGTCAGGCCTGCTGAGGAGGATCTAATCAGAAGTAGCCTCTCAAGGGTTGGGCTTGTCTGGTTTTAAGAACTCCAGGAAAAATGGCCAAGTACAAGGCCTTATCTCCTCACCCCTAGCCCAAGGAGTCTCATAATCACTTTCTGGAAGCCCCACGGCCACCTCAAAAGTCTCCCACACAGCCACCCCTTTCCCTCTTGGAAAGAGATGCGCCGGGCTGGCGGGCGGCCCTCAGCCTGCACGTCTCACTGATCAGTCAGATTGGACCCAAGTCCCAAAACCTGGACCAGGCCAAGAATCAAGAAACAAAGAGAAGGAAAGCTAGCCCGGGGGGCGGCTGGGGAGGCGGGGCAGTTACAAGCTCCAGGTGCCTCATGCAGTGCTCTGCATCTAATGGCATCGGGCTCCCGAAAACATCACATGAGAGGGAAGCAGAGCCGGGCCAGGCAGATAGGAGGTGGCCACGCTCTGCTCTGGTGAAGAAACAATCATTCAGCTCTGGGCCCGAGCAAGCCTATCCCATGCAGCCCGGCCCACAGACCTCGTCCTCCTGCAGGTCATCATCCAGCTGCAGGGCCTGCTTCAGGGCTCTGGCCACCACCCGCTTCCTCCTGCTCAGGAAGGCCTGCTCCTCGGCACAGGGGCTGCAGCCCAGCCGCACCGCCAGCTCCCTCGGTCTGCGGGGGAGAAGGAAGGGACTATGAGGCAGCTCCGGCCTCATCACAGAAGAGGAAGCTGGGCCTGCCTCCCCGGAGAAACCCACTGCCAACTCTTCAGGCTCCCCAGCCCTCACCCCTGCCCAGACTGAAGCGTGAGGCGCATGGCTGTGAGGGGAGGGGGTGAACCTGGACCCTGCGGGGACACAGGGAATACAGCAAAGAGGATTCACAGGACCGGGAACGCTGGCGTCTGAAAAGGCCCCGGGGGGCGCCTGGGGGGCTCAGCCGGGCAGACGCCCTCGGGTCGTGGTCCCGGGTCCCGATCGAGCCCCGCGGCGGGCTCCCTGCTCCGCGGGGAGCCTGCCTCTCCCTCCCCCACTCCCCCTGCTTGTGTTCCCTCTCTCGCTGTGTCTCTGTCAGATAAATCAAATCTTTAGAAATAAATAAATAGGCCCCTCTGGGGTCCCAGGTTGCACGTAGGCCCCCTGGGTGGGTCCCACCACCACAGACCTACTTCTACCTCTGAGCTTTGCTCCCTCCCCCACCCAAAAATAACTCCAGAAGAGACAAGAAACAGTGTTCCCACCTCTTCGAGGTGAGGAGCCAGTTTCGCAGGCATGTAAAGAAGGGCCAGGGTGGGTGACTCCTCTTGTCTAGGGAACATTAGCTAAGGTCCACCCACAATGGCTGCCACCCAAAAGGAGCGAGGTTTCTCTCCTCTGGTAGTTCCCTTGCCCTCTCTCTGCCCCAATCTCAAGCTCAGGTGGCAGCCTGCTCCCTCCCCCGCCAGCCCCCGCCACGCCCCCTCCTCCTGGGCCCAGCCCTCACCCTTCTTCTTTTCTCAGCTCCACCCTCATCAGGGGTTCCTGGAAACCATGAACACCAGTCACAAAAGCCAGCCACCATGTCCCTCTCATCCCGGCCCAAGCCACACCCTGTGATGTCCCGCCCCCCCCTCCCCCGTGCTCCCTTGGGCCTCTGGCCATCTCCACAGGGGCAAGGCCTGAGGCTTGAAGGCAGGGCGGCTCAGAAGACCCCCTCTCCCCAGAGCCGGGCCCAAAGACTGCAGCTCCTACCAAGGCAGGCCAGCCCTGCAAGGCCTAGGGCCCAGCCCGGCCCATGCTTCTGGCATTCTTCCTTTGGGTGATCAAGTAAGTACCTGGGACGTAGGGAAGACAAGCCTCACCACTTGGCCAGAGGGCAAGGCCCTTAGGGGCACCTTCAGTTGCTCTTGAGGGGCATCCTGCAGGGAGGATGAAAGAAGACCTCAGAAGACCCTCCAGCAAGGACCTCGCCCATTGCCCTGGGGAGTGACAAAGCGGCAGGAAGAGGGCTAGGAGGCCAACGTCGACCCCACCCTCTTCCCAGGATGCCTGATTCTGCCATAAAGTGATGGGGTGGGGGGCTCAGCACGAGCAGAGGGACCAGCTAGGAGGAAGTGGGGAGGGAAGGAGGGAGGGAAGGAGGGAGGGAAGGGGGGAGGGAAGGGGGGAGGGGAGGGGGGAGGGAAGGAGGGAGAAAGACCCTGCAGGCCCCGCCTCGTATGATGGAGCAGCACACTACCTGCAGAAGAATACCCAGTTCCTGCTCCCAGAAGGCTGGGCAATGGAAGCAGAAGGGGTCAGCACCCACGGAGGCCTCATGTTGACCCTCACAGGACCCAGGAACCACAAGCTGAACTCTGCCCTCGGACTCTGGAAACAGGAACCAGAGCAGAGAGGCTGCGAATAGGGTCTTGGCCCACAGAGGCCCAAGGCGGTCTCACATAAGGGGCCTGAGGGGCACTTCCCTCCCCCCACCGCGAGGGAAGACTGGCAAAGGCCCAGGCTGGGAGATGGAGACCCCACCACAGCCACTCGGAGGACTAAGGGGACACACTCGAGCCCCGGGGAGCCGCAGCATGGGTTTGCCCCTAACCTCGACTGCTGCCTATGAGAGCTGAGGGCAGCTAATGGAAGGTCCCATCCAGGATCCCCATAGAAAGGGGAAGACCAGGGCAGAGGGCTAGGGGCTATCCCAGTAGGTTGGGGACTTACGCTTCTGGTCCCCCGCCTCCTCCAGTCGAACATGCAAGCAGGAGAGCTCCCGGGCCTGAGTCATTAAGAATGCCCCTCAGACTCGCACCCCTCCCGTTAGAGGCCCCCACCCTCCCAGTGCCCTGGTTTTGGTCCTCAGCACTATATTACATTGGCCCTGAGTCACCAAACATTTGCTTGAGGTTGTACCCTCTTGAAGAACTGAAATCCCAGAGCCCCCCAACTCAGTTCTACCCCTGAATCCCCAACGGGGGGCCCACGCTTCAGGCCCAGGAAAGAGGGCATGAGGGAGGGGTTCTGGACTCACCACCAGGATGCCATTGCTGAAAAGCTGCTCAGCACAGTCTGTCCTGAAAGAGCCACCAGTGACCCTCATCGCAAGTCCAGCTTTCCAGGCTCTCACCCCTCAAGGAGGGAAGGCCACCCCCCCCAACCATCAGTGGGTGTCTCCCAGGGGAGGGTGTCAGCTCTGGGTGTGCTGGGCTCTGTCCTCCCCCGAGAAACACTCCCACACAAAAATCACCCCATCGCCCCTGACTCACAATCTCTGCAGCCGAAATTCAACTTCTAGCCGCTCCTCACCCTGGAGAAATAAAGCAGCAAGTTAGAACGGGTGAGGAGTGGGTGTGTAGATTTCAATGTAGACGCCAGCAGGGGCTCCTAGGGCCCCAAAGGTGGGGAGAGCCAATGTCCATTTCCAGGTTGCTCTGTCCACCTTCTCTGGGTGGCTCCTAGAAAGCTGTTCTTGGCTTAAGGGCCAAGAAAGAGGGTCGGGGATGGGACTCTTCCTCAGTGACAGCAGCTCCTGGGCTGCCCGTGGCCTCTGCAATGCTGGGGAAGCCTGGACCAGCCACTAGAGAAGAGGGCCATGTGCCCAGCTCCCCTCCAAAGCACCTCCCCTCCCAGAGCTAAGGCCCACCGCTACCCTGGGCACAGCCTTGCCTGAGGGTTCAGTGAGAAGCTCTCTCGGCGGAAGTCCCCAGCCTGCAAAGTCCCCAAGTCAAATAGCACTGACAACATGGGGTCATCGCTGGTCAGAAGATCCTGGTCAAAGACTTGCAGCTGCAAGACATTCTGGAAGGGAAGAGAGTGAGGAGCTGCAGGAAGGGGTGGAGTAGGAAGGTGAGCGGGGCCAGGGCATGGAACAAGGGCTGGCAGGGACAGTGGGCAGGGCAGGGGCTGACGCCTGGCCCACCTTGAGCTGGCTGTGGATTCGGAAGCGAAAGCTCTGATTCCAGACGGGGTTTCTGCTGTTCTTGACTGTGCGTGTCTGGAGCCTGTGGCTAGAGGCTGTGGGCAGCCACAGACTCACATAGCAGTCAGAGGGGGTCACTGCGGTAAGGAGGAACCAGTGCCTGCTGATGGCCAACAGCCCCACCCAGCCCAGCTGCCCAGAGTCCATGACCTTCCATCCCAGGCAGCCCTGGGAGGCCTAGAGACCCATGGAATGGGGCTAGGTCGGGAGGCAGGAGGAGAGGCTGGGGTGCTACCCAACATTCCCCCCAGCACCTCCTCCTGGCACCCTCTCTAGGACCCCCTGCACGCCCACCCCTAGAGTCTCTTGCCACTGGCCCTGTCCCACTCTGAGGAGCCCAGCTACAATGCCACTGTCCTCCCTGGGCCCAGCACTCACCTAGGTCCTTCGAGGGCAGGCCATGGGCCTGCAGGACACGAATGGTGAGCAGGCAGGCCCCAGGAACCTTTGCCTGCAGAGGACGGGGAGGACAGGCTTGCTGCAGGCTGCTGAGCCCGAAGGAGACAAGGCAAACCCAAAGAAGAGGCCAGGGTGACCCATCCAGGACCAGTCCTGAACCAAAGGGACCAGCCCTGCCCCGCATCCCATCAGAGTCCTGAATGGAAAGGCGGCTACGGGAGCTCCCAACGACGCCTGCCAACACTTACCCAGCACTCCAGGCCGGCGTTGGTCCAAGGGCTTTATATGCACGTTAATTTCTTTACTCACACAACCACCCTATGTGTAGGGACTACTTATCATAACCCATCCCACAAGGAAACAGAAGCAGAGAAAGGCTAGTCCCTTGCCGGAGGTCCAGGGCCAGGACTGGAGCAAGCTGGCTCTCAATCCCACGCTTATCTGCTTCCAGTTCCTACTAGAGTGTCTTTCCGTCTTTCCACCCCACATCCCCAGCTAACCCTTGCTAAGCAGCCTGGAGGCTGGCCTTGGGTGGCAGGAGGCCTGGGGGCATATACGGCTAGAGAGGGGAAGAAGCTCGCTAAGGCCCAGCCTGGCCTTGGGCCCCTTGGTGGGGCTGCTCCCTTGGTTGAGCAGCTTACATGGAGGCCTGATCCAGTTAAGCAAACCCTCTATTTGGAGAAGCAGGAGTGGAGAGCACAGACTTGGGTTTTCAGATGGCCTCCCCACCCCTGGCCAGGAATCATTTATGGAAATGGGTCCTCTGCTTGAGCAGGAACAGCAGTTAGCAGCTCACACCACCCACAGGCTTTCAAGTCCTCCAGGCGCTACAAGGTCGGGCTAAAGAGGGTCCCCAGGCAGGTCCATCCAAACCCACGAACATGGATCTGGGGATATAAACCATGACAAATGTGCCAGAGAAGCCTGTACCAACTATTCCTTTTGGCCTTCAGCCCTGCCTCAGAAAGGTCCTGATGGCTGGAGTCCAGGGGTAGGGCTGGGGAAATTCATCTGGCAGTGTCCGCTCTGGGGCCCCCACGCTCCAAGCCAATTGAGTCGGGAGCACTGGAGCAGCTACTTCCTTGGAGCCTGAGTTCTCAGGGCCCAATCCATGGGGCCAGGAACTCTGCCTGGAGCCCATCTCTAGGGCAGGACGCCCTGGTCCGATGCAGGCAAACTCCCCTCTCTACACCCGGAGACACCCACAGCTCCCCTTAAGAAATAGCAATAACCGGGGGGGGGGGGCACCTGGGTGACTCGGTTAAGCATCCATCCAACTCTTGATTTCGGCTCATGTGAGATCCAGCCGCGGGGTCCCGCGTGTCGGGCCCCACGTGTCAGGCTCCGTGTTCAGTGGGGAGTCGGCTTGAGATTTTCTCCCTCTGTCGCCCCTCCCCCTGCCCCACAAGCGTGCATACTCTCAAAGCAACAAGTCTTTACAAAATAAAAAAAGAAATAGCATTAACCAGGCCCCAGGAGGACCAAGCGTCAGAGTGGGGGCCCAGCTCCCTAGCAGGTCTTACCAGAGCCATGAAGCTGTCCGTCCTCAGGAGCCACAGGTGGCAGGCAGTGGATGCAGGACCAAGGACTGTTGGCTTTTTAACCCAGAGCCAGTGATGTACCACCAGCTGGCCCCAAGCTCCTCCCTGGTCCCTCCCAACTGCCTCCACTCCACCCAAGCCTCACACCCACTCCAGGACAAGCTACCTGCCGAGGAAATGAGGAACCTTAAACCTATATGGAGACTCAGACACCCCCGGGATGGGGGCTTACCACCCATGAAGACCCGTTCCCTCCAGCCGTTGCCATCAGCACCTACCCCACTCAGCCCTGCTCTCATGCCTGGACCTAGAAGGGCCACTGACATCTAGAAAGCAGGGAGTGGGCCCAGGGCAGCAGCAGGTGGAAGAGCCTCGTCCCCTGTCGCAGGGTCTTTCACAACCTTCAGTGCCAGTAGGACAGGAATGCCCAGTCCTGACTGAAGCGCTTGGCCAATCTGAGGGGAGTGCCCCAGGCCCGTCACAACCTGGCAGGGGTGTGGTTCCTTCCACAAAACAGCCCTCCCAAGCAGCGTGCGTGGCTGCCTCCACCCTCGGAGCCGGGGGACCGGGATGATGAGGCCTCGGGGTGGCATTCGGGGAAGGCGGCTCTTCCAGCTCTGGGTGGGTGCAGGGAGGGAGGGAGTCTGAGTGCAGAGACCCCTGCGGAGGTGGGCGGCAGGGTTTTCTGTCCCCTCCTACCTGTCCTTGTTGTGGGAGAAGCAGGGGTGACCCTGGGGGCCCCAGACCCCACCAGCTGCCCCAAAGCTGGAGGACAGCCCACAAGGCCGGAGCAAAGCTCGCCACAGCTTCACAGGCCGAGTCGGTGCAGTCCGCTTGCCCTGAGAGGGGCTGCGACGGCTGTCACAGATAGAGGGGTCTTGGCAGCAGAGAGGTCCTCGGGCTCAGGTCTGGACCCAGCCCTGAGCCGCAATCAGAGTAACCCTGAAATGTTCACCTGAACCTTCCAGCCCTCACCAGACCACAGAAAGCAACTTCGAGAGGGAGTCTCAGCACACATGAATCACAGTCATCTTTTATTGCACATCTCCCTCCACGCCAGCCCTTCTGGTCCTTACGGCTCTCTCTCCGGGGCTCACAACACGCCGTGGGGTAGGAAACACCAGCTTCTCTGGTTTCCAGGCAGGACACCAGCGCTCCAAGGTGCTCAGGTGCCCGAGGCCGCGGTGGCAGTGAGAGGCGGCGCCGCACCTGAAGCCCCACACCTCCTCCGGGACAGGCTGCTACCTCGCCTGTGTGGGAACTTCCTGGGAGCCCACACCCAGACCTGTCTGGCACCTCCTGGGCCTCCAGATCACCTCCCCAACCTCGCCAACGCTGATCCCAAGCCAAGCCGAGCCGGGTCGGCAGCCAGCCACTCTGAAAGTGACCTGGTCAGAGAGGGCACGACCTTTCCCACCAGGTGTCGTGGCAATGTTCACCAAGGCTCCATCAGTCGAGGCCCGAGGCCTTAGTAAGGGAGTCAAGCAGCTGGAAGTAACTGTACTTAAGGTCATACTCCATATCATACCAGTAGTTCACTGTGGAGAAAATGGAGACCTGAGCATGAAGGTCCCCCTCCTAACCTACTGCCTCCCCAAACCATTCCCCAGCTGCCCTGCGGGCAGCTCCTCACCAGCAATGCAGCCATGGGACTGCTGGACATGGTGGAACCACAGGGCTGGCAGGTAGAGCATCTCACCGGCCTGCACCGTGCAGCAAAGGGCCCGGGCCTGACTGTAACTGGGGTACCGGGCCAGATCTGGAGCCAGTGGGTCCAGTGGGATCCAGGGTACCTGGGGACACAATGGATGCCAGGGAGCAGGCCCAAAGCCCCCAGGCCCTCCAGCTCTGTGCCTTCCAGAGGGAAACACCACACGACCTGCCCTGTTCAGCACTAGGAGGATCCAGACTTAGGGATCTTTCAGAGCCAGGTGCCATCTCCCCAACTCTACTGTGCCTGCTCCTCAGAGACCAGGTTCTGACCCTTCCCTCTCCCCAGGGCCCAGGAACAAGGCAGACACCTTCTCCGTGGCCTCTTCATCCACCATCTCAAAGGAGCCCTCTTCAGTTAGCTGGTAGGTTGCTGGTGTGTACAGCTCTGAAACCAGAGAAAGGTGTGGGGACACTCAAATGGCCCGCGGCTTCTCAGTTCCTCCCACTTGTTCCCTGAGTGCAATGGAAACACTGCGTCCACACCTCAGGCCTGGTGCACGAGCCCGCCCAGGGCCCTCACTGCCCTCCCTCTACCTGGGGCCACCTGCTCTCCAGCCCCTGCAGGCTGAGTCCCATACCATAGGGGATGAAGGGCCGGTCGCTGGGTGGGTGTAGCAGGAAGCGTTTCTCCCCTGAGACCACACAGTAGAGGTTCTCATAGTGGTCCTTGTGTACTGCCAATACAAAGAAGGCCCAGGGTTATGAGGGGCAGGGCACAGGAGGGGACAAATGATCACATTCAGGACCCTGCACCCAAGACCGACATGACAGATGGCATAACAGAAGAGCACAAAGCAGGCCCAAGGGGATGCTGAGGAGTTGGGCAAGCATTCGGCATTTCGGATCTCTGCTCACCAGGGACTTGGTGCTCACCTGGGCTCATGTCTACCTAAGAGGGGAATTCAAGCAAACAGGGTTCTCCTGAGTTCACCCCTGACCTGGCTGGCCTTTGGAGAGCTTTCTAGAGACCCAGAAGACACAGTGCCCTCCACCCCCAGTGCCACGGGACCTTCCCCAACCTGAGCTATCGGGAGGCCCTCTGTCATGTCCAAACCCCAGAATCCCAGAAGAAATCTTAGAGACCAGTCAGTTTAACTTCCATCCAGACCCAACCTTCCACTCTTGGCCTCTCTTCCCTCCTCCCCCACCTCTGTATTCCTTTGACACCTACAAGATGTCACTGCAGACGCCTCCCCCAGCCAGAAGTTCACAGCATCAGGCATCTTTCCTGTAGGTCAGAGGTAAGAGAGCAAGTCAGAGAGGGCCATCCTCAAATGCCAGGCTGGGAACCACCACCACAGAGTGATGCTGGACCAGAGCCTAGGGGGGACCAGAGGCTCACAGGGAGCAAACAGGGGGAAGGGGAAGAAGAGGGTGAGCTCCAGAAGGTGCCTCCCCCCGCCCGGGGGAGAAAGGAGGGTAGCAATGTTCCCTAGTTCAATTCAAAGTCATGGCCTGGAGACTTGAAGGTTTAGTGCATAGCTCCTAACCCTGAGGGGCCAAGAGTAGGGGCCAAGTCATCAACAAAGGGAGAAGCAGCAAGCAGAGCTGACTCCTTCCTTCCCATTTCTTCCCTGCCCGGCCGATACCTTCACTCACCCAGTGCCTCAGAGGCCCAGGGCACATGGGACTCTAGATCAGGCAGCAGCTGGGGCAGCTCAGTGGGCAGGTTGGAGCACTGCTTCTGCACGTAGAGGACTCCTGGGTGCTGGGCCTGGCCCTCTAGCACATCCAGCACGAAGCTCAGGGGCAGGCGGCGCTCAGCAGGCATCACAAAGCGGTTCCCTCGTACAGCATCCGCGTAACCATCTGGGGTCACAGCCACGCTCACCTCTGTGGAGCCCACTGTGGCTCTAGAGGAAAGGACTTTCAGCCCATACCCAGGTACCACAAAGAACCACCCAACACCCCCCAGGGGAGGTCCCACCTGAGATAGGGGAGGGACCACTTCCGCAGAGCTGGCCAGTGCTGCAGGGCGTTACGGATGATGCAGGGCCTATTGGGGCAGACCCAGTCTCGGTAGA